GTGAAGCTTTGTAAGTACATGTAGTGCACAGTCATATCGTCCAACGACGGAAATTGGCACAGGTACAAATTATTAACCCTTTGTGTACGGACTGTACAACTTTCGATCCCCTGGGATCGAAACTTTTCAAAATTTCAATCGATCGTAACTCAATCATTCCTGGGTTATATCCGAAAACTAAAATATGTAGGTCAAAGAAAAAACTCCCAGCTGTCCATTGAAACAATCGCTGAAGCGCTCCGATGTGTGGTTCCAGAGTTACGAAGCTCGAAAGTCGAATCCCGGCAAATGTCGCTCAATAGCCGCTCGCGCAAATTTGAATGAGGGATTTCCCCATCATTCTGAGCATGCAGTGACGTAGAAACACGTTCAAAAATGGTAAACGGACTCATGGCAGTTTGTGAATTTTTTCGAAGTAACAGTTAGTTGTTACGAGCAAGGAGAGCGAAATGGCTGATGCAAGACGACTTCTGTCGGAATATTGGCGTTGCAGCTAAGACGCTGGGCTGTAGCGCTGGCATTTTGACCTTCGTGGTGGCAAGCGTGGGCTCAATGTGTTCCTCTTGCGACGAGCTTTCCATGAAGCCCAACGTTGAAAAAATCGTCAAAAGGAGACTAAAGTTATGACCCGGATAATTATAGAATTTGGGGTGAGTCGAGATCAAATTCAGTTTGTGTAAAACTTTTCAGTACATAAAGGGTTAATACCCTTACTAAAAGTTTAAAAGTTTGGCACGCATAATTTATTTTTCTGGATTTTTCGTACCACCTACATGTATAGTGCTGTCCACTGAAATCCGACCCCTGAGCGGTGGCCGGTGGGTGCGTTCACATTCTAGCGGTCTCCGTTTCGTAGTTTTACAATCCCGTGTTGGGTCTTTGCGACGTGAGCAAAGACCCGCTCAGGGGTCGGATTTCAGTTGCCAGCATTGTATGTCAGATTGTTCTAGGGGAACTCGTGCAAGTGCGTTTATTTACGTACAAAACAGGCACAAAGGAGGTTTGCAAGAGTATGTTGCAATCGTAGATTCCGCTAGGACCCGCAGGGTCCGACGTGGAATCGGGGTTACACGAGGAGTGAAGGCGAAGAATGTGACAGTGTGTTTGGCCTCAAATCGCTCTAGTTTTCCATAAATTTCCAGCGGTTTAAAGATAAAAAATGCAAATGCACGCCTTGATTGCACCTAGCACCTCTTGCTTTCTTTGGCCTTTTCTGAGCGACCAAAATGATAGTGCAATCAAGAGTAGTGACAGTGAGGGGTGGGCGACACCAGCACAATGGGCGGGAACACACTGTCACATTCTTCGCCTTCACTCCTCGTGTAACCCCGATTCCACGTCGGACCCTGCGGGTCCTAGCGGAATCTACGATTACACTTCGGAGCTTCGGCTTCGAATGTGACAGTGTGACTTTTAAAGTGATCCACCACCTCAACCAAGGCAAGGGCGTAGCCAAGCATTATGCGCGAAGGAGAAGTGCGCATGTGGAGCGAAGGAACAGGCATCTCGCAGAGTGCCTGATATACAGTAAAAATGTCTCTATGTATCGAGGATACACCATATGTACAGGTGCCCTTCAAGTCGGAGACATGAAGGGAGAAAAGGGTGACAGTCTATTATTAAAAACGACTAGCACCGGACACAGATAATAATACTGCGACACCATGGCGAGGCTGTGTCAAAATATGGAATGTCACAGTACTCCTCGAGCCAGGAATGTGGACAAAGAAGTTTGTCCCTTGCAAACCAGGGAACCAGGAAGGTCTTAGATCTGGAACCCTAGACATTCGTCTTGCTGACGGAGGCAAGGGCGAACACAACACGTACCTTCGGGAGTTGATGGCAGTGGAATACGGACAGACTGCGAAGCTCCGAGGTGAACGGGGAGCCTGAGTCAAAACCATCTACATGGGAACGTGCCGCGTCAGACGTTTCCGAGGCAATTGGGATTGGGTCCTCAAGCCTGCAGAACCTCCAGAACATTGATGACACTCCGTGTGCTGGCAGGCCAGCAGTAATAGACATCGGGCATCAAATGGGTGGTCGCTACATCAGCCTGACCAATACTCCAAGAGGCCCTGAACACGTAGCTGGAGTGTCGACGAGAGAGGAGAAAGATGCATTGGTAATTGGTCTATACTGCCTCCCTACATCGCACTGGGTGGCTTAGGAGTTGGTCCGACTGCGATGAACTCCAGACCGGACCCACCAAGAGCACTTGCTATCTGTGGTGAATAGCACTAACCATCAGGATGAGGGAGAATGGAGGGTGCAGAAGTGCATTCTCCCACTGGTCTGGTCTGCCGGAAGGACCAAGGAAGCCTGGCCCTCGGCCTCAGGATCTGAGCGCTAACTCACATACTGATCCAGTTAGCGGGTATGGCTGTCCACAAATAGGGCAAGTGGGCTGTACCAATGATGTAACTTTGTAAGGACCTACCTGTCCAACAGGCAGTTGCCGCTGTCTGCAGACCGTGACGGTCGTTTGGATCGTGGACGATGTCCCGAACATTGACGGCGACTAGGTGGAGCCAACGGGGTCGCGCCAATAGTAATAGTTATGTACTCTTGGTAGCGCTAACAGACAGATAGTTATCCAATGTTTCTTTCCTTGGATACGTAAGCAACAGCCATCACATGATCAATCTCGACATGCAAAGGTACTCCCGTTATGCCATGCCCTGGGGCTTGCAGACCAAGGCACTCCGCCCACAAGCAGTAGATGAATGGAGTTTAACTCCTGCAGAGTCATGTGGTTATGGGTGGCTGCTGTGCATGGGTCCTGAACTGACGGGCTCTCGTAGCGCAGCGATGGCACCTGTGAGGTGACTGGCTGGCCATCCCCGACTGAAAAGTGACAGACCCAGTAATGGAGACTTGTCAATTGAATCACCAGACCATATATCGAGGTTGCACAGCCCGGGCTGTGGAGCTTTATCCTGCAAGCACTATATTCTGTAATGAATTGATCGACTGTGAAGCTGGGCTAGCGGGAACGCCTTCCTCAATTCCGGACGCTTCACGTTCAGGCGCCTCAAGTGGCTTGGTGATGGTAGAGATGGTGAGCCTCATACATTCCAGGGACTGCACCAGCTACAAGCCGGACTTGTGCAGGTTCACTTGGAGCTCGAGATGCTCCAGGAGGCGGATCGTTGCTTGCACTATGGTGTGCCGCAACCAGACCGCACACAATAATGAGGCAGGTGGTAATGCACATCACTACCTTCACCGCCCATGTCCGGAAAATGCAGACGATCGATGCAGACACTTGGTGTATGTGCGGAGTGAATAACACATGCCGAACGGTAGACATGTGTACCGCCAGCCACTTCCGGATGGATGCCGGTCGAGTGACACATGTCCTGCATGGCCAAATAGCACATTGGCTCCATGAGGCTGGCAACATCGCCAGTGGCCGTACCGGGTCTCCAGCTTGCAGGGACCTGTGGTGATATAATCGTCATATTCGGGTGCGCAGCGATGGTAGAGATGACGCAGGATGCGGAGCCAATGGCTGCTTGGATGGTCATTTGAACTGGACATAATTTATATCCGTAGATCTCAGGTATATGTATGGCTTACTCAGCTATTGCACAACATGGTCATGGACCTTGGGAGTGCACAGGACGTCTACGGCAAGACAAGGGTGAATGTACATGTAGGTCATCAAGTTCTTCCTCGACAGTGAGAACACAAAGATATCACATATTCACTGATTTCCTTCTGCGCTAGGAAAGCAGTTTTCTATACAATATACATAACTGTATATTTGTTTACAAAGAGGCGTCTTTTCGAGGGTAGAGGGCTCAACACGATGCGGAGCACTATGATGATTTCATTGAGTAAGGAACTCAGAGTTGCAACAAACTCTAAGACCTCCTTGTGCCTGTTGTGTATATACCTGTTCTGTATATATTTTATACTTGAAGTACATTTATGCAAATGTACTCGTATGCGTACCAAGTAAGGCACACCGTGAAAGGCCACCGACAGCCGAGCAGGCTGGTAGTGTGGACCATTGGCTGCACCATTACGGGATTGGCACGACATGCATCCAGCTGCTTCAGCTCGTCTGCCAAGCCCTTGTTGGTAACGAAAGCCTGGTACATGGTGGGTCGGGCACAAGGCACACGTGCATGCAGTACCGGCGTATCCGCCATATCAGTACTAAACAGTACGAGACTGATCTGGTTGCTAGCTATGGTTGCTAGCTATAATAAAAGTAGATTCCTTCTGGGTGCGTAGATATTCCAGGATACGTACGATGAAATGCTATCCACAGTAGTAAATTACAGATATGGTTACTTGGACCTGCCGTTGTACGGAAAGGGCCGCGCTGATATGCACATATCATATGGGCAATGAATTGATCCCAGTTATGGATGCGGCAGTAATCGTGCAAGGCCTTGGCTGGCCAGACCAAGAAGGGGGGTGGTCCCTCGCGGTGCCCGAGGTGGGCACTAACTTGAGTAGTGGAAGGCAGTATACCACAAGTCATAGCGTACACAAAGGCAAGTGTACATGACATTGCACTCTTGGCACTACGCTCAGCAGATAGCTGGAGCGCCCGTGTCCGTACGTGCTCCAGCCACCGAAGGTCAGACTGAGGTATGGCAACAGTAAAAGTGTTATATGCTTCACCACTTCGAGGTTGCTATCACAAAAGGTGCTTGAGCAATAGTGTGGCAGTACATTGTTGGCACTGCACAAATGGCAACCATTTGATGTTTATTTTTCATTGCTCACAGAGGTGCATCAGCCACCTCTGACATCGTGATCATGCTTCCAGAACCATGTATCTACATACAGGTAAACCTGCCTTAACCGGACGCCCGTGGTGCAGCGGAAACTGGTCTGATATGACATTATTCCGCTTGACACAGGAATGCACGTTCGATCCACAGCCCTTTGGTGCAGGAACATTTCCCGGTCAATACGGGATTCTGCTTGGTATAGGAGCAAGCAAACACAGGTAGAACTGTACTTACGAAACAACAATATGAGCATGGCAGAACGGCATTAAGTTATGGGCGTGACTCTGGGCATGAAACAAAGCACTCGCCGGTGCTTGCAAAGCCACGAGACCATCGTTCATCACCAATGGACTAATGGTTAGAGTGTGGCAAGGCCCCCGACAGGGCCTGCCCACTGGCGTGACGGAAGCCACCATATCTACAATGACCGCACAGTCCACCGACATGGGTGGATGCGAGTTAGGCACAGACATTGGAAAGGCACTCCTGCTTTTCATGAAATTGCCCTGACCACACCAGGAAGGCACGACTCAGGGCAAGAAACAAAGCACTCGCTGGTGCTTGCAAATCCACGAGTCCATCGTCCATGGATAGTGGATGGATGGATAGAGTGGTTAGAGTGCGGCAAGGCACGTGACAGGGCCTGCCCACTGTAGAGACCATCATCCATCGACAGTGGACGGATGGTTAGAGTGTAGCAAGGCACGCGGCAGGGCCTGCCCACTGGTTCGACCATCGTCCATCCGCAGTGGATGGATGGTTAGAGTGGCTAGAGTGTGGCAAGGCACGCGACAGGGCCTGCTCACTGTAGACTATCGTCCATGGACGGTTGACGTATGGTTAGAGTGCGGCAAGGCACACGACAGGGCCTGCCCAGTGGTGTGACCATCGTCCATCGACAGTGGATGGATGGCTAGAGTGTGGCAAGGCACGCGACAGGGCCTTCCCACTGGTGAGACCGTCGTCCATCGACAGTGGACGGATGGTCTGAGTGTGGCAAGACACGCGACAGGGCCTGCCCACTGCCGTGACAGAAGCCGCCGCATATCCGCGTCGTCCATCGGTGGGGTTGGATACCAGTTACTTGTAGGTACAGAGGTTGGCAAAGCACTCGTCAGGGCCTGCCCAATGACGTGACGGAAGCCGTCTGTTGATGTTGCTACGCGCTAAGCGCAGAGCCTTGGCAAGGCACTCGAAAGAGCCTGCCGAACTCGTGAAGGCCGCCCTGACCCAACAGGGAAATCGTGACTCGGGGCATGAAACACGGCACTCGTCGGTGCTTGCAAACCCACGGAACCATCGCAGCGTCGCCATCAGCATTGGCCGCCGAAAAGGCCGAAATTTCCATATCGGCACAAACTAGTTACTTCAGCACTTACTTACACGGACAGCACGTCGATCCGGTAGGAACTCTTACTAGTCCTAGGCCTGGACTGCGAGCTTCAGCTTCGGAGTCATTATTACACAATAGACACTGCCATAGCGGCAGTAGAAGACTGAAGTCTCAAGGATACTAGACAAAGGAAAACGGTAACCTATCAGCAAAGAAGCGAAAGAAAAGGCCAAAGAAAGCAAGAGGTGCTAGGTGCAATCAAGGCGTGCATTTGCATTTTTTATCTTTAAACCGCTGGAAATTTATGGAAAACTAGAGCGATTTGAGGCCAAACACACTGTCGCATTCGAAGCCGAAGCTCCGAAGTGTAACTCCCGAGTTTCGTGCACAATGCGATCATCAGGCGACTTGTGACATGTTCAGTGGGATTTGGCCAGTACTACTACTAATATTATATAAGCCATAGTTTATAGGTGATGGTCGCCGGGTGGGTATATTGATTCAGCGGAGAAGAATGACCCATGATGGTCATGTGAATGATCACTTGGGTGCGGGGAACTATTAGCGGTGGAAGCATCGATTGCGAGCGAATACAGACGTGGAAGGAGTGACTTGTAAATAACAGCCAGGGTGTGAAGATAATTCATTCCCCGGACCTGTTATTGGTGATGTTGAGAATTCTAGACTCTAGTGTAAACCAGACTAACTCGATTGGATTTCACTGATCCGCGCTGTACATGTAGCGGAATTATCGCTCATAGCATGTACCCACAATGCTGCACAGTAAATTCTGGCTCTGTGAACTTACTGCTCAGCCGGGCGCTGCACAGAACCAGACCCGCAGACTAGGCACTGGGCAGTGCACCAGCTGCGCAGTGTACGTACTAACTTCTTCATGACATCAGATTTCACCGGGCACGACTGTAGTACATCCGTAGCCATTATTGTGGACAAGAACACAATTCAAGCCGCATTCATACACAACTTTCTTTGAATTTGCATTGTCAATGCAAGTGAGTTGGCAGAAGAGAATACTTGGGTGGGCAAATCCATTGCCACAACCCTGCAACTTTTGAATCTGAACAAGTCCCTTCCACTGCGCAGCTGTTTTCCTATACAGAGATGAAATGAAGAAAAAACTCCCCGTAAATTATGAGAAGATTTGGGAAGCTTAAGTTGAAGCAGTCGAAAATCAACGTCTTCAACACTAATATCAATATGTTTCGCTTGTCCTAGGCAGACTTGTAGCAGTGTCGTTCAGAGCTCAACATATTTGAGTACAGCCAGTTGGGGCACTAAGCCGGCAACTAGGCTGCGGTGTCAAGGCTTGCTTGCAACTACATCCGCCATCACCCAGACAGTCAGGTCAAGCATGACAACACACCGCCGATCAGGGTAATGTAAAGCTGATCGCACCCATCAAGGAGTCCACAGCGCTGGGTGTTCGCTGTCCGTCGGCATGGCTGAGGAGACGATACCTGTGCATGAATTCAACAGGACACACCGCAATAGAAACAGGAGCATACCAATAGAAAAGGCCTGGGAAGCGACTAGTTTACATCACGTGACTGCTAACCCTTCCCCGGTATTTCAAAAGTCAGTGCTGGGGTTGACCCATCCCCAGATGTTACAGCACTGACTGTTGACATACTATACGTGTGCAGTGGAAAGTCACTTAGTACATGCATGTACTGTACATGCATGTACTGTACATGCATATACTGTACACTTGATCAATACCGTAGTGTGCCTGGCACCCCTGGGCCCTGACTGCCCTGACTGTATGCTCTAGTGACAACACTGTCGGAAAGGAGGACCTGTTCATGCCGATTATACGGGTAGGGTGTCCTGGACAACTTGAGTGCATATTAAAGACTGATACTGCATTCATTTATATTGTATTGTATATTTGAACGATTCTCCAAAGGCACATGTAAATGGACACTTCGGCAATGAAGGGCAACTGTACTTTAAAAAAAAAATAGACTACTGACCACAACCTGTCGCCTGCTGCAAAGTTGACCTCCCTCAAATTGATCCGAATCTTCCAAACAGAATGGAAAGAACAAACATGAGGACAAGTATCAGGAAACTGTTTGGAACTGTTCTTGTTTGATGTAATTGTATAGCAATTGCCAAGAAGTTGATCGTATAATTCGACACTAACCTACAGGAGAGTTTAACCTGGGTATGCAGCCGTGTGTATCAACAACTCTGCATGTTCTTCAAAAGTAGCATTTCTCCGTTGACCTACCTCTCCCATATGCTCGCGGAACGCACCGAAGCGGAATGGTGAGTTCCTGACCGTAAGAACTACACTCAGCTGTGAAACACTGCTGAATGGTATAGGATACTGGAAACTGGAGAGGAGCACAAAGAACAGTAATTCGATGACATTATCCTCATGCATGAATCGTTGCAGGAAAGAACTGGGGAGGACAATGACCCGGATGAATCACACTAGAAGCTGATGCATGCAAATTCCAACTGGATGGATGCTGGAGAATGTCACTTGAAAGGAAAACTTGACTGGATCCATTGGGAATGGTATCTTTGTCATTCAGGAATGCTCTACAAAGCACCACAAGCATGCTACGTGTAGTTTCGGGGCTTTTCTAAACAGTGCATGGTATTAGGGCACTAGTATCTTGAAACGGCCGGAGACACTGACAAAGCAGAGTCGGCAAGGAACAATACTGTAAACCGCCCAATGTTTGCGTCACTAAATGTTTGCGATCTCTCAGAACCAGCGAGTTTACGATGGCAAAATGATGTTTGCGGAGCACTGTGGCCACACATCACATCCACTGTTGAAGTTCAATTTCACGATGGTTAATATTTGCGTTATGCTCTTCTCGCAAAATTAGCAAACATTAGGCAGTTTACAGTACTGGCATCGTATATTGAGATTCTACGAATACAGTTAGAGGAAAAGGCAGAAAAGCCTGTGTCCGGGTGAATGAAAATGTCAAAACAAACACATCTTGAACAGTCCCACAGATCTGGTGAAGTAAAAATAGGAAGATCAAACCCAACAATCATCTTGAACAGCCGCCCACCTTTCATCGAAAACCGGATTGCACTCTTTGCGACGTGTCGATGTGCGCCGCCGACCCAGACCAAACACCTCTGGCTGGACGTACGCCTCAACAAACGGGTCAGACGTTCCATCCACGTGACACGGCACAAGAGAGCTGGAGAACACACGCACACACACGCGCACACACACACACACACACACAAACACACACGCCCATGGTGATAACACACATGGTAATAACACATGTGCACGTGTCCTCGAGGCGTTCAGCCACTGTGGCCATGAGGTGAGTTCTACACGTAGAGAGAGGGCAACGGAAACTGCATAGCTGTAATTCTGAATTTCCTGCAGGAGCGATCTCCAGAGAGTCCTACGTTCCAGTAAGATGATATATCATTGACCTATTATAGGACTGTTGCACATCTATCACATGACCGTACAGGACAGCCATGTTAGTTCCAACTTCACTCAACCCTAACATCTATAGGTCACATGATGTCGGCCATGTTTTTTCCACTCTCCACTCTCCACATGCATGCCATGATCAATTTATAACTTTAGTCACATGATGTGAACACCGCTCCATTAAGTATAAAAAGTGCCACAATACGTTTTGCAGACACAAATACCACATACCCATGCAGAGTTCAAATGTTGTAGCCAGTCAGTTGTAATAGAAGAGTGGCAGCTCGGTTAGCTTGTACATGGATGTGCAGATCTACATCGCTGCACACATGGAGTGCACCATGGTAAGTGTAGGCCTAATGTCATTTCTACTCAGCTATAGCAATGGATCAGCACAGAAGTACCTACATGCACACAATGCATCTTCCACACTGGTACCTGGTGGTGTTGGTTAGTTGATCATGAATTGTACAGTGGTGTGGTCGATTTAGAAGGGCGGGGGGGGGGGGGGGGAGCAGTTTCCCACCAATTTGCAGGCGAAGGACACCACAGTCCAAAGAGCCGTTCGTGGAAGCAGTCTTCTGGTGAAGCATTTCAAGAGCCTTCGCACGCATGCTGCATTTGGCAGCGTTTCTGAGCACACACTGTCCGACTCCAGTAGCCTGATAGAGGAACTGGTTGGACCCAGACCTCGCAAGAGACCCAGGCGATATGACAACGGTAGCACACCTCATCAGTTTGCTGCTGTCAAGGATAAGTACCAACAGGTATCGACAGGTATACTTTCAAGCATTGGACTTGGCTACAGGTGAGGTGGAGAGACAATTCGATCAGTCTGACCTTGCCGCACAGTAAGGAGATTAAATCCGTTCTTCTCTATTCTGCCAATGGACAGCCACCAGATGTCGTACCAGAAAGTGTTCTGCAGTTCACGGATTCGGATGCTGCCCGCCTCAAGCTCCAGCTTGACATGCTGGTGGACGCTATCAGCACAGCACTCCCAGATACCATGGAGGTCACAGCCATACGCACGATTGCGGCACTCTTTGCACAGTCTCGCATTTACGTTGGAATGCTGAGCTAAGTCGTGAAACTAGTGACCATATATCTCACCTTCCCAGTGACCAGCGCAACAGCAGAGCGTTCATTTTCCTCTCCGAGACTGATTATGACATGCCTGCGCAGCTCCTAGACTGCAACTCGCCCGAACAACTCGTTCCTGCTGTATGTCCACTTGCCACTGACCGAACAGCTGGATATCGTGGAGATTGCATGTGAGTGTCTGTCTTCCAACACACGTCGGCAAAGATACAGTAAAACCTGTAACTAAAGACCGGCACCGTGACTAGCGACCAGCCTGGTACTACAGACCACTTCGCCAGGCACGGACGGTCTCACATTCATTATGGTTATGCGGTGCAAACCTCCAACTAAGGACCATCTGTCACTAAAGACCGCTTTCTCTGTCCCCAAGGGGTGGTCGTTAGTCACAGATTACACTGTACTTTGGACAGATCTCGGGCAATTGATTTCATATTGCCTGGTCTCTGTCATATCGTTTCCATCCCTCCCTCCCCTCCCTCCCCCCCCCCCCTCCCTCCCTCCCTCCCCCCCCCCCTCCCCCCCCCCCGGCAAATCATCTTCCTACGCTACTGCATTAGTTACAACCCTGACAATGCTCAGCGGGTATGCATGTAGAAGTTTCGTTCTTGTATTGCCGCTGCACGTGAGAATTACAAAATAGAATGCCGGCCACACTCAGTGGTAATCTCACATACCTACATATGATAGGTATTACCTTGCTCTGTGAACGTTGACAAACAGCCGGTGTTTCAAGTGACTATAGCGGAAGGACAGCTCCAGGGCACTTTCTGTGACATGCCGAATAGGGTACCTGTGTGAAACCACGATTTACAGGTGTAGTTGGCATGGGTGACTAGGCAATCACAGATGTACATAGTCATTGACACGAAAACGTAAGCGAGTCAACATTACATTACTGATAGCACTGGACTCAGGATGCACGCCCTCTACAGTGCCAGCAAAGCCTGCCTGTGACATAGCACACACGGACTAAGAAGTCTGTACTGCACCCTCGTTCTCCAGGCGAATGACATCCATGCTATTATTCAACACATTGCAATGGTTCATCAAATAATCCCTCTCTCTAAGGCCATGGTAAAAAATATCTTTGATTCTCAAGTACGCGCGCATCGATTTTTGGTGGCGCACCGACGATTTTTTTTATTTCTATGCATGCATATGCGTGCATGAAAACGGTCAATGCGAAAGGCATGAATCCGGGAGTAGAAAAATACCGGTATTTTTCTACTCCCTGGCCTGAATAATAAAATAATTATAAATTAATTATGAACCTGTGACGTACACATGTGTGACCCTATCTTTGGAAATAAAAAAATTGTGGGAATTAAAATAAAAAATCGCTCGCTCGCACCGATTTTCACAGGCTCATGACCTGAGAATCAACTTTTTTTTTTACCATGGCCTAACTAGGACTTTTCGAACAGTTGCACGTCCAGCACCACTAACCGATTGACAGGTAGCCGGGGAGCCTTCACTTCCTAGAGACGGCAATCAAGAAGGCAGTGAAGAGTGTACACAGCAGTTCAGGGATATGTTCGGCCATCATGAATGAAGACAACACCACGGCTCCAGGGTGCACATTACCATAGGGTTAGGATTGCGGGCATGTGGCACATGTACAGATCCCGCTACTCAGGTTTCACATAAGCAAACGTACTGTGTGTAGTATATCGGCCTATCCTCGGGCTGGGCAAGTGCAGCTGTACTACAAGTACTGATGTACTTCCAAAAAGTACTTCAAAGTACAAGGTGGCACATGGTACATATCACTAGGTAAGCATTGATTCAAAGTCCTACGTACCCTGGAATATCGGTCTGGAAGAGCTGGAGAGGTACGCTGCTGGAATTTGTCTTGCACCTCCGGTATGCTAACAACCAGCGGCATAGCTTCACTAACAGTTCTAGTGGAGCTAGCCGCGGCAGTATTGCCACCTGATGCTTTGCTTTCCAGCTCAATGTCTTTCCTTTCGAAAGAAAACACACTGGCAGGACGTCCTTCTGCTCCCGATGGTGATGCTTCTGCTGCCGTTGCCGTGGGTGCTGTTTCGGATGTTGTGGCGCTCAGCTCGGCTGCAGTTGCTGGAGTTGCTGCGGCTGTAGCCACTGGTGATGGTGATGGTGATGGTGGACCGATGCGTACTCGTGACTTCAGATCCTCTAAAAGGTCGTTTTCCGGCTCGGTGACTACCTCTCCCACATTGTCATCCACTGCGAGAGCCTACAGGGATAACAAAATATTTTTTAACAAAAAAGAACACCAACATTGTATTGCACCTTGGATATGCCAGACAGACAGGCTAGCTTTGTGGCAGGGGAAATAGTCATGAGCCAGCTTGCCATAGCATACTCCGTTAAAAACTTGAGTTAAGTCTCTTCTTGAAGCACAGCGCAACAGACTCACCCGCAACGACAGACGGATGTCCAACAATCCTGTTCCTGCTGTGCCGTCATTGGTTGTGGTCGACGTCAGCGGCAGTTTTCTGTGGCAGACAAGAGATGCTGCTTCCAGCAGGCTGTCCAGTGAAAACTCGCAATATCCCAGCAGTGTGTCCGGCGTGGTGCAAACCTGTACCACACGTGCATACACACACACACACACACACACACACACACACACACACACACACACACACACACACACACACAAACACAAACCAGACCTCAGACCTGCCCATCGCGGAAGCGATGATAGTGAACAGCTATGTTAGACATAGCAACTTGTGCTGGGATTACACCATTCAACAGCTTGCAAGGCTGATGAATTGACCGCCACTAATTTTAGCCTGGTATCCACCACACAGCTGATTGAAGTGGCTTTTTTTACACACACACACACACATACACACACACGCGCACACACACACACACACACACACACACACACACACACACACACACACACACACACACACACACACACATACACACACACACACACACACACACACACACACACACACACACACACACACACACACACACACACACAGAGAATATCCTCCAATACATGTCACACTATGACACTAACACAGCACACACCTCAGTAAAGGTTACATTGGGATACAGCAAAAGAACTTCAAGAGAACTGCAAGTAACTACTGAATAAGTAGAAATATTCGTCTGGAATTTAATTTCGTATTTTTCGTCCAAGGAACTTTTGGACTAAATTAAATGTAGGACTAATGTCGATTTGTCCAGCTTTTCTATACACTATTATGATCCATGGACGAAATTTTCAACCGGACGAACTCCCCTTCTTAGGAGTTGGACGAAATTTTTGACCGACGAAATTTTCCGCCTCTACAGTGACATAGAATGAAAGTTCAAACATGGACACGGTGCCTGCATACTGAGGGAAGAAAGATGATCCGCATTGATATGACCAGTGAGCCGGTTAGATCTACATTGTTATCACAATACAGACAGATGAATAGTACAGGGTGAAAATGACATTGCACCTGACAAGCTACACCACTAGTTACCCAGCATTGTATTCCATAATACGCTTACCTCTGCTCTGAACACTTGATTTCTGGTTTCCGTGAGAGGGAAGTGAAGACAGGTATTCCACGCCACCGTGGACGTGCCACGTGCATGCTGGTGAAACAACACGAGCGCATGCATACCGGGATGCGTGCTGGGATATCAGCAGAGAGCAGTCAACCAGCACGACTGTGTATCCTAGTATGGCTCATGATTAGGGAGATAGCACTGAGGACATACTTCAGGCTCTTCACAAACTTTTAAAAGGAAATGCTAACCAATAAACATCCGTCCTCCATCTTTATTTTAAAATGCTTAAAAGCATTTACTAGTATCTATATTCAGTAGGCATTATCTACGTTCACTCATTCCATTAATACCGACAGCGCAGCTGTTGGTGCTATTCATCGGTACTGTCCTATAGACGAGGCGAGGATTTCCACCCGGCATACTGAGTGTGCCACTTTCCGCGGTAGTCGTACCCAGCACACAAGATAGTGTAAAAGCGAAAAGTCACTGATAAATGGACCTCCAGTCAAAGCCTTTGCGGTTCGGAATAGGACAGGGGAAACCCCTTTCCAAAATACTATGGTGTGCGGACGACTTACTGGGCCATCCTTGGTGCTGTTCTGGACGATGAGTCTGCAGAAATACTCCCTCTCCTGCTCAACATCATCGTGAGAAATCTAAGGAAACAGCACAGAGCATGATCGAACCACAGGTGCTGGCCGTAGCGGACATTGGGGAAATACTCCTGCAAGCAAAGACATCTAGACTCTAGACACAGTCACTCTCACAGGCCTCCGACAGCTACAGCACACATTCCTGCTACAGTAACTGCTACAGTAGCTGCCAAAGTAACTGCTACAGTAGCTGCCAAAGTAACTGGTACAGTAGCTGCTATTAACTGCAGTCCCTGGCCATGGGTAGGGTGTGGGCTGTTGGCAAGCACTCAGCTGATCAGCAAGCACACACACACACCAGCCTTTTAAAATCTCATGAGGATAACGCCATGCTCTAAGAGAACGCCCACCTCTTCAGCCTTGACGATTCGCACGTGCAATAGAGACATGATGTCATCCACGTTGACATCGACGGTGCTTTGCTGGTCTTCAGTCAGCGCGTCAGCTTCGTCTCGGCCCATTGCCATGATCGTTGATAATGTCACGCCATCGGGCATGTCCAAGTTCTCTTCAGCATTGGAAACACCAACGACAGCTGGCAAGAGGCCAGCCATACCAACCGCCACAGGTACTGTTAGCTGCTGTGCGTCGCTCTCGGGTAAATATGAAATAGCAGCGACAGAGCTCACGGCAGGAGAAACTACCGTCTCTTCGACTTGTTCGGAATCGATCCCCAAATCCACAAATGGTTCAAATGGGCCTTCAGTCTCTTGCTCCTCCTCCTCCTCCTCCTCCTCCACCTCCTCCTCCTCCTCGTCAGTCTCTGAAACAGCAGAAATGGAGATCCTTTCCTTCAAACGATCGATCATTGAGGGTCGCCTGGCAGATTCAACTGCAGGATCTGACGAGGGACGCAATCTACTTGATGACACCTGTTCTTGTACAAGTCCAGATGGTGCAGAGGCTGCGCGCTGTTGGCGACGACGGTTCTTATCATCAGGTGACCGACGTCCAGGCGTGGAGCATTGCCCTGTACTGCCACCGTGAAGCGAGTGTGCTCGACGTGCAGTAGCCGCAGCAGCAGAGGGACCATAGATGCTACCTCTCTGCAAGTCACAGGTAGGAAACAGTAGCAAAGACAGGATTGCTGCAATGGTTTGCTTCTCCACACTACACTACAGCCAAGTGCATGTACATGTACATGTACATCAAAGATTATCTACCACAAGTAAACGGAGAACTTGTCGGAAATTCCTAATCCTGCCAGTACTTTGCTAAAGACTCTGACTACTTCGAAGTAATGATATAAAGGACACACTTCAGGCTCATTACAAACATCTTGAGCCTGAAGTGTGTCCTTTTTATGAGTATTATCGCATTTTTGTCTCAGAGGAAACTGTTTAAGTAATGATATAGTGAACAATCGACGTGGAGGTATTATAGCTATAAGATTCATACACCCCCCCCCCCCCCCCACACACACACACTCTCACACACACACACACACACACACACACACACACACACACACACACACACACACACACACACACACACACACACACACACACACACACACACACACACACACACACACACACACACACACACACACACACACACACACACACACACACACACACACACACACACACACACACACACACACACACACACACACACACACACACACACACACACACACACACACACACACACACACACACACACACACACACACACACACACACACACACACACACACACACACACACACACACACACACACACACACACACACACACACACACACACACACACACACACACACACACACACACACACACACACACACACACACACACACACACACACACACACACACACACACACACACACACACACACACACACACACACACACACACACACACACACACACACACACACACACACACACACACTACTACTACTACTATTGACAGCTGCCAGAAATGGCCACGCCGCTCCCCAAAGGGAGGTACTGTCAGAGAGGTTAGGGGGGAGGAAGGCAATGCTCCAAGTGGCGTTCCAGATCTTGCCGCCTCCGGAACCGTCGGTTGTGGCAAACTTGGCAGTGAAACTTGAATTGTTGGCGTTCAGCCACAGTAGGGCGCTTCACACACACACACACACACACACACACACACACACACACACACACACACACACACACACACACACACACACACACACACACACACACACACACACACACACACACACACACACACCTGACCTGACCTTTGACGCCCATCGCCGGAGGCGATGATAGCAATGTTACGGCAGAAGCCATAGCAACTTGTGCTGGGATTGCACCATTCAACAGCTTGCAAGGCTGAAGAATTGACCGTCACTATTCAGCCTGGTCTACCCCGTACAGCTATTTGAAGTGACTTTTTCTGGCCAGTGAATCCCTATTTTTGGTCTTTTCATTTTTTTCCCACACATACATCACACCACATACTCCGGCATGCACACACACACACACACACACACACACACACACACACACACACACACACACACACACACACACACACACACACACACACACACACACACACAGCCACAGCAACAGACAGAGATCTGGACACAGACACCCAGCCGCCCCTACCCCCCCCCCCCCATACACACACACACACACACAGGCACACAGACAAATACCAACGCTTGACTGCACGGATGCACACATGTCGAGTATGCACATATCCTACCTGCCTGTTTCGTTCACCGCGACTGCCGCCACCGCCACGAGATGGCACTGCTCTCTCAGTTCTGGCAAACTCTTTGAACAGTGTTACGCTCTCCGCAGGGCTGGCAATCCTGCGCCAGAAGAACTTCATTCGAATGTTCCCCCTGGAGTTCATCACTTGGTTGGCACGGATGTCCAGCCACTGTAGAACCGTGAAGAGGGAAAACAATCATGAGAGTGAGTAACACCTCATTCCAGCAGCATTCTGCAAAGCTTGCAGTGTACTTAGTCTACTGCAAGACATGTATATATAACGAGGAAGCAAATCTAACGTTTAAACGGATGACATTTCTTCGTTATAATAAGATCCGTTGAGGCCGTACTGCTTCATATATCATGCGGCTGTGTGTGGATATGCCGGAATACTGCAAGATCGTTAACATATCTTCTCGTTAACCTATGAATTTTGGACAATCGTTAAATTTGCGACTCGTTATAATAACATGTCTTAGTGTACTTAGTGTACCTGGGTTTGTTCGTTTGTTTGCTTGTTTGTTTGTTTGTTTCTAGTATTAGTTCAGCAGATACACAGCGGCAGTTCTGCCTCCTCACGGTCTAACCATACGACTAGCCTCTCAATTAAAGATGAAGAAGTGGGTACATGTAGAGGTTGTCTAACCGTTGCAGCTTCACACAGCCATTGCAACACTCCCAGAGCATCGGCAACAGAATTGCTGGTGCACATGTAGAGGGGACGGTTTCAAATAGGACACCGGTTGCGAACCGGAACGGACTCAATATTCACTTTCTCTCTTGGTATTTTGATTAGAAAACATATGTCACAGTGAGACTACGATGTGTTGTACTCCGAGCCAAAATTTCATCGCTCTGCGATGACCAGAAGCGCCATATCAAGCAGGTGAGTTTTTGACGTGTTGCTTCGCACTGCGACTTGAGTTTTACGACTTTCGAAAAATCAACTTCTTGTCGCAGGTAAACAGCGGCTCGCCTCTCGCCAATACAGCACCGCATACCAATCAAAACTAATGGAAGCACACACAAGGCTTATTGTTACTCTGTACTGGCCGTCGTGGAGCGATAGCAATTACCTAATTTCAGACCCAGAGTGAATTTGACGTGCACTCTAAAACGTGTCCGGTTTGGAGCCACCTCTGATTTGAACTTTTTTAAAGCGAAAAATTGAGCAACTTGGAGGCAATGGGTCAACACAAAGGAGTGGCTCAGTTCGATTGACTCTGGCCCCAGAGCAAACTTCAACATGCCAGTTTCCTTCCACAAACATATTTCGAGTGAAAAATCAACGCTGATGATCGGTTTGGGTCTATACAAATTTGGCTGTCAAAACGTCCCGGTATCGAGCCGTCCCCTCTACACCATGTAGACTGAGAACACCGGGTAAGTGGCACACACATCGGCTGTTAGCCAGGTCTGATGGTCCTGAGCAGGACAGGGGGGGGGGGGGGGGGGCAGGAGGAGAAGGAGGAGCAGCACGTGCTGTAGGTTCCCTAGTACAGTCAGACCTCGCTTATCAGTTACAGGACTGGCGGAAGCAGTTTGTGATTGGTCCGGCCATAAGCTTGTCTTTCATGCATTGTGTATGATATGGAGGGTATACACATAACCTCCTCAGCAGTTAACACGTACGTGTTGGTGGCTAAGAAGTTGGTCCGGCCATGGCCTGACCAACCGGACCGGTTCCGCCGGGCCTGCTTAACCACACACATCTGTTTTCCACAAAAATAGTCGGATAGGCGAGGGAACCGGATAACCGAACGGCACCGGTTATGTAGAATTTTTTTTTTTTTTTTTTTACTGAATACCACAGTACCATACGTTAAGTATGCTGTAAAATCTGTAACCAGCTATTTTCTTCCGGATGGAGAGGGATCCGGATAAAAGAGGACCGGATAAGAGAGGTCTGACTGTACCAAAAATGTTGTGAGTGCACTGTATCATAGTAAACTGTGTATGTCTCAACTGCACAGCCAGGGCTAAGTGCATGAGAGGACACAGCCAGTCAGGATTCAATAGCACACACATCCCGGCACAAGCTTACCATGTCACTACAGTGGCGCACATCCACAGCGGCTACGGTACACCTGCAGCAAGCACATGCATATGATAACACCGCCTCAAAACGGGTACATACAAAGTACAGCCAGACCTCGTTTAACCACACGCATTCGTTTTCCACAAAAATATCCGCATAGGCGAGGGAACTGGATAATCAAACACACATACTGAATATATGCATAACATATGCTGTAAATCGGTAACCAACGATTTTCTTCCGGATGGCGAGTGATCCGGATAAAAGAGGACCGGATAAACAAGGTCTGGCTGTATTTTGAAGTAAAATAAAAGTGCTGCAAAGATGAATGGGTGAAAGTGGGTGAAATGAAATCTAGACCAGAGCCAATAGTGAGTGTTAAACACCCAGACCTGGACCCGGGCTGGATGCAACTGTTGGACACACATTTCTCCGAACAGTGAAATCTCAAAACCTCACAGTACACAGAACACTCAAAAAGACAGGTCAGGCATTTATACACACAAGTTGAGCTATTGAAAAGCTGAGAACTTGCCGCAGTCTGCGGTCTGCAATGACTAGCCTTCAAACCTAGTTCCTACTGATATCAAGAGTGCATAAACAAGAGTATGCAACTGTGGTTATGGCCCAGTGCGCGGCGCGCTGCCTTCATTACGTAACTAACTTGCCCTCATCACACGTGCACGTTCTGAAAGCATGCATTCAAACTCACAATTTCTCGTACGAGCCCATCCGTTTTTACTCGATTCGTTCCAGTACCTACGCGATCTCTGAATTCTGGCGCGTGAACTCCAGTTCCGTACGAAAGTTCATTTCAAACCAGAGGGAAAGGGCGGTGCTTGATTTTCCGCAATGCACGGACTGCAGCTGAATGATGTAATGAAGGCAGCGCGCCGCGCATCTGGCCCATAGAAAAGAGATCACAGTTGCATACTCTTGTTTATGGACTCTTGCTGATATGTATACCGGATAATGTCACAAATACATCTATGGACAGTGGAACTCACATAGTACATACTCTGATAATACATACAGTGGAACTCACATAGCACATACTCTGATAATACATACAGTGGAACTCACACAGTTCATACTCTGATAATACGTACAGTGGAACTCACATAGTACATACTCTGATAATACATACAGTGGAACTCACATAGCACATACTCTGATAATACGTACAGTGGAACTCACATAGTACATACTCTGATAATACATACAGTGGAACTCACACAGTACATACTCTGATAATACATACAGTGGAACTCACATAGCACATACTCTGATAATACATACAGTGGAACTCACATAGCACATACTCTGATAATACATACCCTTGCTTAGTACGAACATTGTCTGAAGCATGGGTGTAGTGATCCATAATGAAGTACTGTAAAAGCAGAAAATTTCGGTGGTGTTTTATTTTCGGTAACTTCGGTGCCGACAATTTTTACCGAAAATTAAACGCACCGAACATTTTCGGTACTACTGAGTAGTTCTAGTACACTTACCTGGAAAACGGGTTTTACCGAAAATTTCCCTCCACCGAACCGCCGATTTTGGAGAATACCGAAAATATTACACCACCGAAAATGTCTGCATTTACAGCAAGTTGAGATAAGCCCCAATGTGTCGAAAACGGCAATCCTTTGTATCCCCCCACGACCCTCCAGTGACCTCACCCTCTTTACGACTCGGCTTTTTACTTTCCCTGATGATCCCATTGCTATCAACATTGTTAAAAATCACAAACACCTTGGTATATTTCTTGATGAACACTTGTCCTGGGATTCGCACGTAACCTATATTGAAAAGCGAGTTTGCTCCGCGATAGGCTGCATTTCTCCTCACATCTCCCATCTACACCATGGTTGTCGAATACAAATTTATCACTCTTATGTTCTTCCTTTGTTTGATTACTGCTCTCTCGTTTGGTCCTCCGGTCTATCCTCCGCTCTTATGCATCGGTTAGAAGTCACCCACCGTAAATTACTTCGATTAATATTTCGCATGCCCCCTCTGACCTCCTCTCAGACGCTATACATTTTGGCTTCCTCTTCCCCCCTCTCAGAACGCTTTCCCCACTCGGCATGCAAATTCATTCACCGTATTAAGCTTCAACTTGCTCCTCCTCATGCACTTGCGCATTTAAGCTGGTTCAATAATAGCTCGCGTACTAGATGTTCTCTCCATTTCCCACTTGCCAGGTCATCGATCCTTTTAAATCCCCCCTGTTCAAGTCCTATTCTCATTGGTCTCGGCTTCCGCAGGAGGTAAAGTCTCGTGACACCTTCGCGGCATTTTGTTCCATTCTGCCCGCGCCTAAGTTGAATTGAATTGAATTCGTTGTTTTCCATTGCTGGCCTAATCTTCATACTGCTCTCTCCAGGTTCCTATAGTACTCCTTTTGTTTTCTTTTCTTTTCTCTTTTTCTTCTCCTTCTTTTTCTCAGTTGTCCCCACCATGGCTGGTTAAAATCGCCCGCATCACATGCTTATTGGCACTATGTCATCGTGATTGTGAAATAATAATAATAAGAAGAAGAAGAAGTACATCGGATACTAAATGTAATACTCTAATTTCAGAAATTTTCGGTGCTTAAAATTTTCGGTATGAGGGCAACAGGCTAGGTTAGGTGAACAGAAATTTTCGGTACAGAGAAGAAGTTCCCTATTGGATTATGTGTGTTAGTGTTTGTTCGGTGTATTGAAATTTTAGGTGTGAAACAGACGCACCGAAAGTACCGAAAATAAAAGTACACCGAAAATTTGTGAAATTACAATACTTGAAATACTAGTCTAAATACACTGTCCTGCCACCATGCATGGGGTAGGTCTTAGGGTGCACATCTTATGGCACTATGTCTTATCAGTCTTTTACTGTACGTACTTGCCAATCAGCTGATCAGTAGTCAGGTCTTCTTGATCCCAGACTTCCACAAGAACGTTTGGCTCTTCATGGCTATCCAGGAGTGTCTGACCATGTTGTGTGCAAAGTGTGTTGCATAGTCAATGGAAAACATGTAGGTGCTCACACGCACGCGCACGCACATACATACGCATGTACACACACGCACGCACACGCATGTACACACACACACACACACACACAGGTCATGTCCCGGCTGGCTGCCACATAAGTGACAGCCGTTCACAACATGCAGCCATTTACAAGAACATACGTGCACAGATGCATGGCGCATGATGCATGCATACTGAGACACAGGGTGCGGGCTGGTGTTATCCACACCCAGAGCATGCTGGTCCGGGGCTGACAGCCAGGACCCAGTCAATATTCAGAATTCAGAATTCTACAAACCTCAAATGATTCGTTCCATTGGGCTGCAACACTGTCGTTCCGAACGGATGTCCGGAATTGATGCTGACCAACTGCATGCAAAGGACAAAGGTAGTGGGCCAAAGAGAATGCATTCAGGTTTCATGTAATATTATTCATAATTTTTCGGCCAACAGAAAACACGTTTTAGCGCTCTACAGGTGCTCTGGGCGGACCATCCTGGACGAAAAGCAGTAAGAGACCATGGGCATACTGGGCATACCGTGTGTGACACCCCTGGAACTTGACAGTAGTGACAGTCTGCAGGTGTAAAGGTCCAAAGGGTTGAAAAAGTCGGGTCGGGTAGGGGTTGGGGGGTACAACAGGTCGGGTCGGGGTTGGGGGGGGGGGGTACAAGGGAACCACGCACGTGGAGGATGCCTGACCAGACCCTCTCTTCTGCCTTAGTTGGTGTGGGTCACTCCTATAGCAATCACCTTGTGGTTTCAATGCTGCCAATGCTGTTTCATAGGCGAAGTTTGTTCCCCAAATGTTGTGCATGGGTGCGACTCATAATGCAAGACTTTAGCAATTCAGAAATATGAATACAAGAACGGGCCCCTCTTGCAGGAAACCTTGTATATTACCCGCATCCCATCCCAGTACCAATGGTGCAGCCTAGGATGCATTCAGAGATGTTCCTGGCATCTTGTTGCAAGGTCTGCTACAGTCTTGCTCAATGAAATCCAGTCGCAGCACTTAAGTTTGCACCTACCACCATTTCGAATCCCAGAGTCTGCACTGATGTCTAGGGCTGCACCACGCCCGGCGCATACATAAGTGCATCGACTGGATTTCATTGAGCAGCACTGTAGTTGAGTTTTGGTAATGGTGGAACAACACCCTGGGACTGAACACTGCCGATACTCCAGACATGGCACTCCAGCCCAAAAGGTTATCACTAATTAGGGCTTTCACATGTCCATGCCTGCCTATCCCTCTCTCACCCCCCCCCCCCCACACACACACAGATGTATTTGTGTACCGTGATGGATTTCAAGTAATTGGTAACAGATCCTACCCTTGACTATAACATAGATATCCGACGTGCTCGCACTGAATAGATGAAAGTCCATGCCTTCCACGTTCTTTGCCTCAACCACGGTGACACACAGGAAGTGCTGTGCAGGCGGAAAGCATAAGGAAGCAGACACCAAGGCAGCATGCAAGAACTCGACACACACACACACACACACACACACACACACATACACACACACACACACACACACACACACACACACACACACACATACACATACACTGCATATTAACAGCGCTGTACTTCCGGTAATGAGAACCCGGGTCCACATCCAGGAATTAGCAGCAGCATTTACTATCTCGCCCAGTGGTCTGATTTGAACAGTCCTCATGGTTGATGCTAGCGTGCAGTGTATGTAGTGTGTGGAGTAAACCCTCCTAGTACTGAGTACACTATGAGTATTTCATCCACACCCCACGCCTGCACGCAATAGGAAGCCTTGCATTACAAATCAAAGTACACATCGGCTCATCATACTGAAATATCCTTGCCCTGCCCCAGGTGCCCGGGCACGGAAACGTACGGGGGGAAGACATGATCAACTTCGGCTAATGGCAGGCTGCACCACCGAATTCCTGGAGGACACTTCCATGATAAAACCCTTTCGCAAGAACACATACCGGTATCGCATTTCAACTGACCCTGCACAGCTGATTAAGTCCAGTGTTGATAAGTGAATTCCTGATCCCCAACAGCAATGTGCCATACTGAACTACAACCGGCTACTATTAGATGTTGGCATAGCCCCGGCCCAAGGGCAAACTGTATACCAATCAACACTGAATTACAGTGAAACCTGTCTAAGACGACCGCTCAAGGGACCTTCAAAATGTGGTCTCTGTTACCAGGTGGTCTCCTTATCCAGGGTCAATTGACTGGAAATAGCACCCCTTGGTCCTGGTTCCTGTGGTCTTCCAGGACAGGTGGCCACCTTATCCGAGTGGTCGCCTTGACATATTTTACTATAATTATTATGATTATTATCAACAAGAGCACGATGCAAAGTAGACCCCCCCCCCCCCCCATCCAATTGTTGAGCTTGACTTACAGATGGTAGCGGGTACAGAAGACAATCAACATCCACGGAATCGGGCACCAACGAGAGGAAGAAGCGACTTGGGAAGACCAGTGTTTCTGACAGCTTCTCATCTATCACCGCGTCAATGGCGTTTCTACAGATGCATCGGGACCGTGAGTCCAAGCAACAGTTAGTCATGTGATTAAGACCTGTGCTCCAACACAAGGTGCTCAGGTTAGCAATGGCCTCACTGTGACCATATTAGGACTGGAGCATTCACTTGATGCCTGAACCAGGCATACTTCTGGTCGAGGTGCTGTTAAGAGATCATGATGATCCTGATGATGTCGTGAGGTCTGATATTGTCAGGCTTTATACACTTCTTACTGTGTGTAATGCAACCGCAGGGTTCTTTATCACTAGCGCTGCACACTTGTCATTAAAACAATTGGTCCATGATTTCATCATCTCAATGCCAAAGCATTAAGCTGTGGTACACGTGCATCTATGCATAAACGAAAAATGATATATTATTATTCACAGCTCCCGTAAGACTCAGTCAGACAGAGTTCTCCTTACAGGCAGGAATGCCACCACCCTCAAGGATCAAAAAAGTGCAATGCCTGGGGGGGGGGGGGGGGGGGGGCTAGAACTATGCATCTACGCCCCGCTCAAACAAACACAGGTAGAAGTCGTTCTTGCCCTAGCTGAGCCATTCAATGTGACCTCTAACTGGCTCTTGGCATCTCCACCATCAGCAATCTTTTGGAGAGTGCAATACGACTTACCGTAGGACGGGCATATCAAATATGTTTGCCAGGCCAAGCAGGTCAAACTCAATCATCTGTCGACAGCAAACAGGACGGTATATTTCAAACCGCAGTTAGGATAATAATTAGCACTTTGCTGTGCTTTCGGGTATGGTGAACACCGTGTTGTGAAAAGGTAGACTTGTCACCCGCACACTGCTGTTAATCATCTCTCACTCTTCTATGCTGCTAAGAAGTCAACATGAGCACAGGCCACTCCCTGAGCCGGTTGCCCGTCGCCATGCGCCACAAAGTCTTCAATGCAGTGGAACAGTGTGAGCAAACACTTCAGCGCCAAGGACTAGAGCTTCTATGCAGCGAAGCAGGGCTTGTCAAGCAATCAGAGTTGAGCAGCTGGCCATGACACTGTACAGCCTTTTTTCCCAGTGGGAATACTCCATGCAGCACAGCGCTGGGAATATTCATAGCCATTCAAACTTCATAATACCAACTTTTGCGGGTATGTAAAAAACAGAACATTTTAGGGGGATTTAAAGAGCCAAAGAAGTTCATATTCGGCCACAAGGGTGTGGTAGAATCTAGAGAGATGGCACGAGACCGTAGTACCCAAAGGCAAGGTGTGTTTTGGGACATTTGACCCCAGTTTTGGAAGTTAAAAGTGATCCGTGTTCTGTGCAAGACCATCGTAACCGAGGCCATGACCAATCAACTCAGACCAGTGATGCCACGCAGGGACCGTGAAAGTCCGTCTCTGCCCCAAGGGCAACTGGAAAGAACCCCATATTGTTTCAAATTACACATTGTCTCCCAAGACACTATGGCCCCATAATGACCATGTTTGCCATCAGACTCGGCTAGAAAACTGCACTAACTGGCTTTTCCAGGAAGAAGATGGAGATGCCACCGAGAATTGGCAAGACTGGCATGAGTGGCTTGAGAATGATGCGTAGCTTGCCTTGAACCTGTGAGTGAGCAACATGTACAACACCATGATTGCATGCAAAGAAGATTTATACTTAGCAGTAGTAGCGGGCGTTATTCACAGCTCAATCATATTGATAATACAGTCAACCTCGTGAATAACCTCGTGAATAACCTTATAACAACCTCATAACAACTTCGGCCATCATGGCAACAATTTGAGAAAAACAACACTATCTTCAGACCTGGCGGCTAAAAAAAACATTTCCACGGTTCGCGTCAGGCTCGGCTACAGACCGAGTTTTCCGCATCCGTCGAAACGCCACCACCCTTCAAGGATCAAGGCGCAGATGCAGCTCCTAAAGCGGTGGTGGGAGGTGAGTAGATGGTGAGTAGATGGTGGCCATGGTGGCCATGGTGGCCATGGTTGCCACGGTGGCCATGGTTGCCATGGTGGCCATGGTGGCTATCAGTGGACATAACCGTAACTGTACTCACAAATAACAGATCTGCAAATAATGACAACTTGTGAATAGCAGCACAGTTTTCCAGCGCCCGGTCAAGGGTTAATATTCACGGCATTGACTGAACTGAAACAAAGTTTGTTGTAATGCCATGGCTGGCTATTGCACCCCTCCCTCCATATTGGCCTATATTCCCTGGCCACGGGAAGGTGAAATAAATAAATAAAAAATAAATAATGATCCATGCACATGTACAACAGACACTTGAAGCGTGCAACAGCAGTGTAGACGACACAACCTCTTCAATTTACATGACGTACCTAGCCCGCATTCTACCCATGGTCGGCCCAGTTATTGCAATCGGAGGGGGTGGGGGTATTGTTACTTACCCTGAGGTCCGATACACCTGCTGATAGGCCATACGCAATGAACAGTTCTATGATGGCTGTACCATTGTATCTATAGCACATGTCAAACACGGCAGCAATGCCCATAAGTACAATAAAGTGGTAGAGTGGGCCGTGATACAGTGAACGCTGATATAGTGGACATTGATAATATCAACTGCAGTGGTGACAGCGGATCATGATGGAATATAGTGTACAATTGTATACAGTGGTACAGTGGATAGCAGTACGCACTGTATGTCAACAAATATCCGGGCATATTTATTTTCGGCTATTATCGGCCTGGTCATATTTGGCCGAAAATGTGTTGCAGCCGGACATTTTGTTTTGCAAGCTTCAGTGTGAAAGTGTGTACAGCCAGCAGCAATACAGGCCGAAAAATTAATGCGGTCGAAATGTATTTCAGCCCTCGGAGGCCGAAATTTGAATGGGCCGAAAATTTGTAGATTAACAGTAGACAGTCAGCCGTACAGTGTAAAGTGGTAGGCTGAAGAAGGTGATAACCAACAGGATAACGGTGTGCTAATGACATCATCATCATAGTACATGCTGCCGAGCACCGATATCATTCCGCACAATATGACATCGTGGCATATGCTGATGACATCATCTCATATGGTAACGACATCATCGCGCGTGTTATGTATTGAGTGGCAAAGCCCGTGCTCATGATGCCACTGCACTTTTGCCAGAAATCACACGTGCACGCCTGGGCTCACGAGCACTCACGCAACATCAATGTCAATGATAATCTCCCTCTGATCAACTGATTGCTGTGGGTAGACTTTGATGCCCGTGATCTTGGGGCTCTGCAGCACAACAACAGAAATCAAAAATGCATTAACGCAGCAGTTTAAAAAACAATTTAAAAACAAGTCAAAACCAGCGGCTACTAATTACAATTATTAAAGCACAGCATAGTACATGATGTATGAGTGTTTACGGTCTGCGGTAGAGGGTTTAAAAAGACAGTGGAAGGGCCCCAGCAACCTACTCTTTGGTTTCATGAGCATAAATCAGTACTGTAAAGCGTGAATTTTTCGCGGCGTTTTTAGTTCGTGTTTTCAGAATCCGGACAGGTTTGTGAGGTTTTAATTTTGCGATTGCAGAATGGCATTCTTGCTAAACCTGTGGCATTCTTGCTAAACCTTTCATGGATCTCCTTTTCGCGCTGTCTAAATTTCGCGATTTCCACGCGGTCGCGAATTTCGCAGAAATTAGACCATCGCAATAATTTCACGGTTTACAGTACATGAATTTCATATGAACTCAACACAGCTACCAAGCCAAAGAACAAGGAGCATGTAGAGCGGCTATTCAAAGCTTACACTAGTCTACTGCATTCTTCATCGTTTATTGGGAGTCTAATATGGTTAGACGAGAAGGCAGAAACGCCTGTGTACAGTATAACTGGTGAAGTAAAATGAATAAAAACAAACAAACAACATCAAAGTATAAACAAGTCACGTTCGTCACTAACTTACCACACAGCCAAGCTTCACGGTTCTGAACTCAATGGACTTCAGCGGACCAGGGCATTTGTTCTTCAGTATGGGCTCAATTTTTTCCACCAGGATCTTCTTGATCGCTGGCTCTAGATACGGCCATACACGGGACACAATCTTGACGACACGATGGATCATCCGAAGCACAGAAGGGAAATGGTTGTTGCAGCAAATCAAATGCCAGGCATGTACTCAAGGCTCGCATACCACTAGCGTAGTCGTTCAGTGCAGAACATACTCAACTCGGGAAGAAAACAGGTCTATGTTCTGCGGCTAAGTTTGCACCCTGGGACCAAAAGTTGGAAAACGCATGGCTAACTGAATGTGTTATAATGCTCGTGTAAAAGCATGTGCTCAAGCAACCATGCCAGGAAATTGTGGTGAGGCCAAGCCAGCATGCACGCACGGCACAAACACACACACACACACATACACACACACAAACAAACAAACATACCCATGCACCCAGAGATGTAAAATGTATGTTGGGTTGTGAAGGTGGGGGTAATATCACATACCGTGTTGATCCATTCCACGCGAGTTACATCCGGAAAGGTCACCTACAAAAACCCAGAGGCACAAAACCATCAGACAGCCGTGACAGGATTTCACTCTGGTACCGCCTGAGAAACATTCTGGTTTCTTCTCACCTGGCCTTGCAAAGGGACACGGCATTCTAGTTTCTAACCTCATGCTGTTAGAACATGGTCTGCACAACACATTGCTGCAACAAGTATGACAAGTATGACAAGTTTGACAAGTATGACTAAAGCCAGTAAAGCTCTACCAGTATCCGGAGCACATGGGAAACCTGTGTCCGCCTTCGTCAATTATTCAACCACGTCTCCTGGTGTTTCGGCTCCCTCATCGTCTGTTATTTCCGACAAACATGAACAACATGCGCAGTAAGCAAACATTTAATCTTGTGATTTTGAAGCAATTAAGTATGGGCTATTTGGGCCCAAGTTAGTTTGCAAACCTTTTTCCAGCTGGGGGTTGGGGGGGGGGGGGGTGGGACCCCAGAACCCCCCTAGCGGGTGTCTGTCTATTCATGGCCACAGCCAATGATGTGGCCATGCCCCGTGGATTAGTGTGGAGCAGGGCCTAGGGCTGGGCACTGACTGAGCACATCCAAGAGTCTCTCATCTAGAGTACTACAAATCAATGTACTACTAGTATTCATGCCTTACCCAGGAGGGTAGCTCGTGCATGTGAGCCAGAATCAGCCCGGAGTCATCACGATGCTCTGACAGAGTCGCCTGGCGCAGCATGCGTTGCCTCCGCTTCTCCCAATGCACCACACCGCCGATAACGATGACCAACCATAGCCAACTGAACCCACATGCACCCAGTAGCCAGATAAACAATACAAACGTGAAGCGGACCAGCACACCAGAAAGGCCGCCGGTGAATCGGGAGAGCGGAAGTTCTCCTCTCCTTGCGGCAGTGAGCGCGTGTGCCGCGGCCGTTTTCCGGTCACGACCCGTAGATCTACCCGCATGCTTTCCTACAGCTTCGGGTGGCCGAGTATCTGTCATGTCTGTCGTGTCCTGCTGCTGGATGGCGGCAGTGATCGCATGTGCTGCGACTATTGTCCGGCCACGACCCGTAGTACCCACATGCTTTCCGACAGCTTCGGGTGGTCGAGTATCTATCACGGCTGTTGTATCCTGCTGAACGGTGGTGCCAGTTACGGCCTCGGACCCATCGACCCTGTCTGTTATTTCGGCACTCTTCAGTGCCCGCAAGCGCGCACCGGTCGTTCGTTGCTCCGACATTTCCCCAGGTCGTACATGAGTAGTTACTAGATCAACGACGGGAGCGGAGTTCCGCTCCGCTCAGGGTAGAGGAGTACAGCTCGTGGGAGGACACTACATCCTGCGCAGGCTCCGGTGGCTCTGTGATGTCAACGTGAGAGAAGTAGACCTACTAGTAATACTAGAAACGTTGCACTGGCAGTTGATGCTGATGGAGAAATAGAAAGAGCAAAAGCAAGCCTGCTGAGTTGAGTGATACGGTTGAAGCACCGTTTCCTCGATCCCTGGCCTGACTGAGTAGGTCTACGACTAGTACTAGAGAGTAGAGTAGATCTACGAGTAGGTCTACGCTTTTGCTTTTGAGTTTTGGTGGCACATGTCACCTGGGTGCGCATCTATTCCGAGTGTGACATGTGACAGGTGCAGGGTAGGATCTACATACTAGTAGCTCTATTTATAGGCGTGGTACAGACACTCGTAGGGGGTACCGGTAACGGGTCGATATACTCTTGTTCGGTGTGAGCCATCCTTGCGTCAGCCACAAGTCGTTTTTACATTGCTAGTAATTTTACAGTTTTGTCACAGTGTTCAACAGTACTAGTAACTGTTGCTGGTGGTAAACTAACTAACTACTTCGAAGTAATGACCAGGGAGTCGTAATCGTATTATTAGTATTAGCAAGTAAACTCCGAGGCCTGGACTCTAAGGACGTTACGAACTCGCCTCCCCGGTCAATCTGGGGCAAACGAGCTGCAGTGCAGGATCAGGAGTGCCGCGAGCCATGCTGCTTGTCTTCAATCCGTGGTCGTACAGCACATCTCCAGTTGTTATTGCGTTTGAATCTGAGCCAAGACTCAAGGCAAGAGTCAACCACTTGGCACTTGTCTTTATGACGGCATTGGGCATTTTTGGTTTGAGACCTGTACTTTTACTAAGGGGCCAACTGGGGTTAGGGTTACTTCAGTTAGGGTTAGGACTGCGGCGCGGCGTGGCACTGACTTGACTGAGCTGCCGACCTGGCTGCGCGCGGGGTTTTCACGACTAGTTGCTGGACCGCAGACAGTCACTTTCAGCCAGGCTTCAGTCAACTAGAGTAGTTTTCACACAGCTTCCCCGCCCTTGGTATGTCTCACCCATTCCACCATCTCCCGTGTAGTTGGTACCTGCTGGTAAAATGCTGAATGGCCACCATCGGTCTCTTCAGCGTTCTTGCAGAGGGTTCCCTTCCGTCTTCGTCGAAAAAAATAGAGAAAAATAGCTACTGGCACTGGCTACAGTTCTAGGCAATAATAATAATTTATTATACTGAGTCCGAGACGACAGATGACAAAACAGACCTTGTGTGTCAACGAAACCTGGCTCGACGCCACTGTTTCGGACCAAGAAATCGCCCTGACTGGCTATAATGTAACACGCAGGGACCGTATTGGTCGAGCGGGGGGAGGAGTTTGTATATACTGGAAGCCATGTCTTCCCGTAAAACCAAGAGACGACATAGCAGAAGCCACGCCTGTAGAACAAGAGTATATACGCTCCCTGGACTGGAGCTCATTTTACTCTTCCATCCGGGACTTGTTTTCATAACGACACCTAGTAGGCTACATGTAGACGCGAGCTTCGACCTCTTGTTGACAGAGTGGGTGTTATCGGTCGGGCCACACAATCACTATTATCCTTTGTGGCCATGCAGAATGATGCTCTCCCAGTGTGTGCTGGTAATGTATGGCATGACATGGTCCGTGTGAAATAGAGCCTGCCAAAATTATAATTTAATACCGGTATGTGCCATGGGATAGGCGGAATCTGACAGTAGCCTGAGCCTGCATGTCGCACGACTGAGGTGACCATGGTGACACTGTGCCTCTCTTTTTCTTTCTCACTTGCATTTCAGCTTATCACCCACACCTTTGCTGATGCCCTTCTTCGCCGTGTGCATCTTATAGTGATATGATCTAAGTTGGCGCCGTTGGCGAGTTACAGTAATTATTTCCACTCTTCACTTTGACTGGCAACTGACTATTGACGAGAGAATTTACAGATTATTGGCGTAACACACTTCCTAGTACATGAGCTCCTACTTGGTAATTGAAAGCATCATTGTTTGGCACGGTACATGTACATGTATATGATGAATCATGATGGTCAAGTGCTCAGTTGTTGTCACAATACGATAATGATTATAACGAACTAGTTTTGATTTGCAATGCTAGAGCTCAGTTTTGGAATGGATATGTTGCTGTAAATGCTTGCAGGCTGATGGCGACTGGGCTATGTCAGCTTGGGCATTGGCTCTGTTGCAGCTGGGGGGGGGGGGGGGGGGGGGGGGTCAGAGCGTAATGAGGGTAACTCAGTGTCTGCTCCAGGATTGTAGGACAGCCGGGTGCACGTGTACCTGGCGCAACCATTTCAACCGGGTCGGAACCGGGTACACATGTACCTGGCGCAACCATTTCAACCGGGTCGGAACCGGGTACACATGTACCTGGCGCAACCATTTCAACCGGGTCGGAACCGGGTACACATGTACCTGCTGGCGCAACCATTTCAACCGGGTCGGAACCGGGTACACATGTACCTGCTGGCGCAACCATTTCAACCGGGTCGGAACCGGGTACACATGTACCTGGCGCAACCATTTCAACCGGGTCGGAGCCGGGTACACATGTACCTGCTGGCGCTGTCTCACCAGCCGAGTCACATGCTTTTAAAACTGGTTGGTTGGTTTATTTTAATTCGGGCAATAAACGGGAACTAGGCCCAATGATATAAAGGCGAATGGATAAGCCGCATTTAGAAAAGAGAGGACAGGAATTAGAAAATTACGAAAGAAGAAGAAGTATCTGACACATACAAGCCATGTAGTCAGTCCTTTCAAAGTTCGAAAGTGTAAAGTACCAACCGGGTCACAGGTGACCCGGTACTATATTTTCAACCGGGTCCAAGCGCCGCCCAACCGGGTGGATTACCCGGCTCACCCGGCGCTGGAGCAGACACTGTAACTTACCATCTGCAAACAGACAGGGGGATGTCATTCTGCTTTATATACTTTTGGAAGAGATTTGATATTACAAGGAGGAGGGGGGGTGGGGGGTGCTAGATGAGATCCCCGGGAGAGATGAGATCCCCGGGAATGCCACAGGACATCTCATAGCACGGAGATACGGCAATAGTTATCATCGAGGCTCACTGATAAAGTTCTGTTGAATAGATATAACATATCTCAAACTGGGGAATGGCATCAGGGGCAATGAAATCAAATCAATCAGCCAATGCATGATCAAACTGGGGTACATGGTGTTGTAATCCGTTGAACGCCTTTTGCGAACTGTCCAATGCAGTACGCAACCAAACTGTCTTTAACATCTTGTTCTTATCTGCCGCACGTGCAATCTGCTGAGTTCCGACGGGTAAGAGTGGAATGAGAATATAGCGCCCGTGTGTCTGCTACACTTGGAAAACAACCCGGCTGGTGCAGTTGGTGTCGGTCCTCTCAGCTCTCACCCGGTTGGAAAAACGGAGTCGGCTGTTGGGCACATGAACGGAGCTTGGTAGTCGAACGTGCTGAGCTTCTTGTCCTTCGGCGACAGCATGTTGTTCCAGAGGACTTTGGCCATGGCAATATGAGCCGCTAGCGATGGGTGGAAGCAGTCAATTGTTGATAGAAACGAGATGGGAAACGTTTCGTTAACTGGCTGAGTGAATCCGGGCTGGATGACAGCCGCAAAGGTGTCGGACTTCTCTGCCGAGATTTCAGCGACGACTTCTTCCAGCGCCAGATTGTACAAGTCCGTGAGGTTGTCCATTTTCTGCCGCATCACCAGGCCGTCGGGAGTGTCGGAGAACGCACAGGAGCACTCCCACTCAAAGATGGACTTGTGCATGGAACGGCAGTACTCCGAGTGCAGAGTGGCATTGTGCACGACGGACACATGCATCAGCTGAACGACGTTGACGAACAGACGAGGTATTCCGGCCTTCAAACCGGTCAGCACCTGCCGGAAGTACTGCTTGTACAGTTTGTACGTGACCGGTTGCCATGCTGTACTGTTGTCACAGCCTGCACACATATCATTGGAACCGATGTATATCGACAAGACCTTCCAGTCGTTCTCAAAGTCGATTCGACTGTCGGCTTTCAGCTGCTCGATCAGGTAAGAGAGTTGATTGCCTTTTCCGTTGGCGAGGTTGTACATCATGGCGAAGCTCTGGGCCGCGTTCAGACGGTCCAGTTCGGGATGTCGTCGCTCCGGGCAAATCAGCCCCCAGCAGAACTCCCATGTGTGCTCGCCCAAACTCATGCCGATCAAATCCGGGTTGTAGCGCTTCAAGTACGCCGGTATCGTGCTGGCGTTCGGCGCGCCGCCCATGCTGAACGACCAGCCTCGCCACTCCAGTAGGTCATGCTCCAGCCCCTGCACTCCCATCTCCCCGAAGCCTGCCGTCAGACTATCGCCCATTGCCATGACGACCTTGACGTCCTGCGGGTGCAGTGAGTGCACGCTGGTGCTGGTGGCATTGCGTGCCGGTAAACTGGGGCAGTTGAAAGGATCAGCCTGCTGGTGCGGGGTCAGTCCAGCGCCAGCGGTGCCCGTGGTGGCACTGTTCGCATTATCGATATCTACCTCTACCAATCGAGACAGGACAGTCTGTACTACTCGCTCCTGATACTCTCGATGTGTCGCCGACCTCCCGGCGCGCGGTATCCCGCTCTGTGCCCCAGTGCAATGACTTATCTGCAGGATCGCGGCTAGAAACACAATTCGCGCGGAGAGCAGCATGAGGCTAGCGGCTTGGTGATACTCCATTGTAACTAAACCTCCAGTGGCTTGAAGACGCGGCGAGAGGTCCTCCGCGTGTTTGTCTTGTGGATCTACAGGGCTTACAAGTGGTCCATTTGCCAATTGGAGTTGCTACCGCCTGTCTATCTGCTACTCGATGAGCATCACCTTTCGGACAAATTAATTTCTTCCACGTTTTCAGAAAACAAACTGCAGCTGCTTGTCTTGAATTTGAATCGACTGGCTTGGCCGGGTGGGTAGATCTGCCTTCAAGTAAGTAAGTTCAAGCGAACTAAACGTCGTCGTTACTACTAGCATACTACAACTGCTGCTGCAGCACTGCTCAGCCTGTCGGGTAGACAGGTGGTTGCCACTTCAAACTTCGGACTTGTGCAGGACAGCCGCTGTGTCCTTGGTCCGGCCTTGTCACCCTTGTGTGCCTCGCGCCGCGGACGAGCAAAAACTGGCCACTGGCACTATTGCGGCTGGCCGGCGGCCAGTGCATGCAGCGTGGCCATGAAAAATGTGCCTCGAATCATCTGCAGAGCGTTGTAGCCAGGGAGTCGTATAATTATGTATCTAATATTGACTGAGTACGAGGTCAATATAGAAATAAAAGCCGAGTAAAAGACCGAGGCGAAGCCGAGGTCTTTTACGAGGTCTTTTATTTCCTATTGACCAAGTACGAAGTCAATATTAGATTTATCACGACAAACAGTCCGTATTTCAAATTCCAGAACGATAACCTCATGAATCCCGGTTTTATGATCGCACAACCGTTGCACCACCACCTACTCATGCAGTGACAATGCTGCACTAGACACCGTTCAACTGCGCAACCCCTAAGCAGTCAAATATAAGCAGTCAATATAGCCCTAAGGCTAAGGAGTGAAATATGCAGGAATATTTGACTGCTTAGGTATGGCAAAAATCTATGCGAGTCAATACTAAGGGAGTGATAAACTACCGTACTGGCAATATATGTTGCCGCGTAACGCGTAACGCAGGGGGGGGGGGGGGTGCGGCGCAACGCGCGACGAGGCTAGTGCGACAAATTTTCGTTGAGTTCGTAACGCGCGTCCGGCGGGGTGCGGCGATCTTTTCATTGCAGTTTGCAAGTCGGGTTTGTAACAGTTGGATAGCAACTGAATTTCTGTGCCTTCAATGTGGATGAAAAGAAAAAATGATGCGGCAAAAGCAAAAAAAATGATGCGGCAATAGCAAAAAAGTGATTTATTTATTATTTATTTATTTATTTATTTATTTATTCAACATCTCCTGGCCCGTCCGAAGACTGCCAATAAACATGAGAGGTCAGGTGATAGCCAACCACGGCAAGCTAAAAGGGAAAAAAAAGAAAGATGCTGTCAGAGAGGGAAAGGAGATAGGGAGAGAAAAAGAAAGGGAGGCACATTAATAATACATGGGATCACTTCGGATGAGACAGTGTGGAAAGCTGGACTGTGAATTTCCTGATATCCTGGCATGTCTTAATGCTAGTAGGCAGGTTAGACCAAAGGGAGTATGCTGAGAAGAAAGGGGATTTCAAAAACAGAGAGGAACTAGCGCGGGGCAGTGATAAGGCATTGCGTGTTGGGCTAGTGGTAACAAACCAGTTGTACTTGGCAATATGTTTCGGGACTTGGGCTAGGAAGATTTTTTGCACAAGGATACAAAGATGCTGCTGATGTCGGGCAAGAAGAGGGTGCGTGGAAGCAAGTTTATAAAGACAAAGGGAGGCAAATGTTTGGTCTTTTCGAAACAGAATTTTCAGAAGCAAGCGTTGATGTACCTCCAGTCTGTGGAGTAAAGTCTGAGACAACCCGCACCAAGCTATATCGCAATAGTCAAATATAGGCAAAATGTACGACTTAAAGAACAATTCTCTGCAGTTATCATTCAAGTGTTGGCAGTGGGGTTGTAGCATACCTAAGGACGCACTCGCACGCTTGCACACAGACTGGACTTGTGGAGACCAGGAGAGTTGGCGGTCGAGAATAACGCCCAGGTGCTTGTGCTCGTTAACAACTTTAATAGGTGTACTATTTAGACCAGGAAAATACAGAAGTTGAGTGGGGGGCGAGGGAGAGAAGAACATGGCCTCGGTTTTGGCGAGGTTAGGCTTCAGTTTCCAGGTTTCCATCCATGTTACTGTAGCGTTGACCCCGGACTGCATGGAGGCCGTGAGGTTGTCTGCCGAGCTGTCGGAGCACATCAGAGCAGTGTCGTCAGCAAAAAGACTTACATTTGGTACAAGGGCTGGCAAGTCATTAACGTACAGTAGAAATAGGAGCGGCCCAAGTATGGACCCCTGGGGTACCCCAGACACGACTAGTAATGGGTCTGATAGGGAGGTAGATACTCTGACAGTCTGGTGGCGGCAGGAAAGATAGGATGAGAGCCATTGCAGGGCTGGACCGTGTACCAAGAAGACGGACTCTAGCTTTGCAAGCAGACCACGATGCCAGACGGTGTCGAAAGCTTTCGCTAGGTCAAAGAACACGATGCCAACATGCCGCCTGAGGTTCCGCTGGGTGTAGATGTCTTGTACTAGACGTGTTAGTTGGAAAGTTGTGGAGTCTCCACGGCAGAAACCGGATTGAGATGGTGAAAGCGCTGGGGTGACGTGGCAGTACAGAGACTCAAAGAAAATACGTTCACAGACCTTGGACACAGCGGGAAGGAGAGAGATTGGTCTGTAGTTGCCAGCCTGAGAGCGTTGGCCTTTCTTATAGATCGGGACGATAACAGCAGATTTCCAGACGGACGGAAATACTCCTGTACGATATGACATGTTAAAGAGCAGGCACAAGGGATAGGACAGAGATGGCGCAAGCCATTTGAGAACCTCATTGGGTATGCCATCTTCGCCAGGGGACTTACAATTCTTCAGGAGTTTGAGGTGCTTACAGACGGTAGCAGTCGTGGTAACGACGCGTGTGAGTGGTGCGCTAAGTTCAGGGGCTGGGGACAGCGATGGAATGACCCAATTCGGATCTTCCGGAATGCCGGATGAAACAAACTGCTTGTTCAGTGTGTCTGCAATCGCCTTCACATCGTGCTGGCGGTTGCCATTGGAGTCCGTCAGGTACTGGATTGGCGCGCGGGAGGTCCCGCGGCACTGGTTGCGAATGAATTGGTGGAGTGATGGGCGATCGGGGGAGGAGAGTGTTGCAGAAAGAGAGTTTAGAAAGGAGCGGTGTGAGGTACGAGAAAGGTGCTTGACGAAGTTGCGTTGAACTCGGTAAGCCTCCCGGTTAACCGGCGTTGGGAATTTCTTGTAGATGCTGAAAAGATCACGCTTGCGCTTCACTTCAGATACGAGGGACCGTGTCACCCATGGGGGACTAGATGTCGAGGATGTTGGGTTGGAATGTTTCCGGTTGTTGTAGCCGATAGCAAAGTTAGAGAGGTGCTGTTGGAACCCTCGTTCAAGGACGGCTGCAAAGTGATCTACCGCGGCGTCAACAGTTGGAGAGCCTTCTGGTTGCAGAAACGACCAGTCGTGGCAGGAGAAATCAGCGTTCATAGAGTCCCAGCACTGAGAGGGAACTCGACGGAAGCGATATGGGAACGGTTTGCGAGAAGGAAGTGGCAGGTCTGGATCCGAGGGCAATGAGACGGCGAACTGGCATGAAACCATGAGATGGTCCGAGGAGCCAAGAGCGCAAGCTGTGTGAACGTCCGTCGCCAGCAGGGGTTGGTTCGTGAAGACAAGGTCTAGACATGACTGTGTTCCGGAAGATGTTGTGTGCGTTGGACTCTGCACCAGCTGATCCAAACCGAAGCAGGTAAGGGTGCGAAAAAGTGATGCGGCAATAGCAAAAAAAGGACTGCGGCAATATATAGAAACCTGTGTAACGGCTCCTGTGCGACTTTGCATGTAACGCCCTGCGTGCGGCAAACATGTGCCAATGACTATGTAACGCTTCATGGCCTCACTGCGGCAACATATATTGCCAGTACGGTAGTAGACCATGGTTGTAGCTGAGAGTGAGACGAGAGGCTGAGTACTGTGCATGTGAGCAGGTGGCTGGCTGCACCGCAGGAGAGATCGGTCGGTAGATCTGCGAATAAGATCAGGAAGGGCACGGCACTGCACTGGGTCGGCTGTCGGCATGACATTTTGGCTTTGGAGAGCAGAATTCAGCTAGTGAAGAGATGATCGTGATGATGGCGATAACAACGCCTAGCGCCTGGCCTGTCATTTCTTGGCAGGAAGTGAAAAGAAAGAGGGAGGATTTATGCAGACTTTCAGTGCTAATTGGGACTTGTCATGTAATTGTATAATTGTAAGATTGTAAGATTCAAGCATGATGATTGATGAGAGCAGTCGTTAGCTATTCGTACTGAAGTATGTGGTACCTTGAAAACCCAAGCAACACTGCCAACACTGCAACAGTGGCCAGGCCCAGGAGGAGGGTGAACCCGAGACCTATGGTCAGGGGAAGTGGGCCCAATTCATCAGCACGCTGCTCCGGTTTCCCGCGGTCATGTCTTCCCCTTGGTTCTGTCTTCCCATTCCGTTCTCTGCTGGACTGTGCAAAAGGAACACTCGGAGGATTTCGAGGAGTTCAGAAACCGTTGGGCGCTAGCGCTGTATCTGCCACCTTGGTTTATCCGGCATGGTGGAGGCCTGACACAAGCGAAACTTCCTAAGCTGATTGTGTTTCTCAACACTGAGTCAACAGAACAGTAGGATACTAACGTACATTGCACTCTTTCTTATTTTTTTCACATGGACATGAGTCGGACCGCTATAATGAGCCTCAGGTCAGGCATGCATTGCAGGGAGACTTGCAACAATACATGTACATGTACATGACTGTTTGTACACGTACATGCCAGTGTCATGTAGATCTACACGTCTGTCTGTTTGGTTTCTCATACTCATAATTATAATCATAGGAGATTTCCCCACGCTTTGGCCTCTGGGTAATCTTGAAATACAGATCATTAATTCTGAGGACGAAACAGTTCTGTCCGCAGATTGAGGATTCTTTCATTATACAATGACTTTAATGTACATTGTATTATTATACAGTACAAGTTCAACCTGTCAAGATGACCACTTTGATAAGGCGACCACCTGCCTCAAAGGACCGCTACAACTACAATGTAGGACCCAGGGATGCTGCTAGTATTCCAGTCAAATGATATCGGATAAGAAGACCACCTGTACACGGAGACCATTCTTATGCATGTAAGGCCCCCCCCCCCCCCCCCCCGGCCCCCGTGGACAGGTTGCGCTGTATAGTGATTATGCTATAATTATTATAATTGTAGTGTACGTAGAAGTAGTGTGGTGTCCGCAGTACCCTTGCTAGCGCACAGGACTGTGTCACGGGAAGCTGCTTTCTTCACTCACGGTCAATGTCATGGCCGGGCCTCCGAAACCACCAATCTAACATGGCGTTGTGGTCTCAGTACATACCGTAATGTCGCGTATAAAAGCAGGTGCTTACGGCCGTATCAGCCAATGTCAGTGCTAGGCTTCTATTCAAATCAAGTATCTCTATGTACATGTATGTCAATAGTCTCTCTCAATACTAAAACCAGGTTTACATGTATGTGCTGACAGTGTATCTTAAAAATCAGGCTTGTATTAAAAACAGGCTTTTATACAAGACACTACAGTAGTCATTGAATTGCATATTTGTTTGCCTGAAAAAGAGGCGTTTTACCAATCTGACAGTGATACACCACACCCCCGATCATAGACATGGTTTAATACCGCAGGCGCAGGGCAAACGTGTGCCCTGTGCAGGGGCCGAATGACGTAGGGGGCTCAGAATCAGAGTAAGTAGAACGTCAGTCATTTCCGCCCAGAGTCCGCCACTTCTCGCAATGGTGGAGTTGGAAACCCTGGGTGCCCTCCCCCCCCCCCCCCCCACACACACAGTGTAGTCAGGGCACAAGGGGATGCCGTTTTGAGAAAAGTTTAGGACTACAGCCCACTCTTAGTAGAAAAGGCTGATAGCAAGTCAGGAGCGAAGAAAAAACGTTGGGCCTTTCACATTATCCGGAATATCAAAATTATTAATCGAAATAACACACTATTGCATAGTAGTACACTAACACGCCTGATTCATGGAGAAAGCGCGGGATCCATCGGCTAGCCTGCGTAGGATGAGACTCCAGGAATCGTGCTTGCAAAAAAACCCTGTTCAGTGTACCGTGACAGCAACACTCATTGCTCCGCTTGCTCTCACCTAGCTAGGCTACGGCCAGGTTTCTCAATGATGCCACACGATATGCCTGAGGATGAACTGATAAAACATCTCGATCAAAATCAGGCAGTGACACCATGTACTTCAAAGTATATCATGTACCACCACACCTTGCATGTACTTCAAAGTATATCATGTACCACCATACCTTGCATGTACTAGTAGCTGGTAGCTGGGATATATGTAGAATACCATCATGCACATATTGACTAAATCCAAGTACTACTCAGGAAATCAAGGTAAGAAATGGGGAGATTAGGAATGTTGGTGAAGACCAGCTTCGGTGAGAACGTGGGGCATAGGGGAAGCTGTACCTGTTCAGAGGCTGAGTGACAGTGTGTTGCACACCATGACAAGACCGATATGTGATTAGTGGAGGAATACCACCAGGCTCCACTGAATTGCGAATCTCTAGCAAACTATGCCACACTGCCAGGATGTCAGCGTTTCCACTTCCAGTGAAGTACATGTAGTACAACTTGCAATAATGCGATGCCTGAAAAGCATAGCCCTTCTTCCATGTTCTCGCGCCTTACTGGGCAAGTCTGCTTCCACTGGAGAACAGCAGAGCTGCATAACCCAGCAAAAGGGCACTGGACAGCTCTCGCAAGTGGAGCACAGCCTGGGGTACACAAGCAGGCGATTTTCTCCAGCCACAGGAGGTTGTGACCTTGTTGAATTGCTGCACAGTTGGCTGGAGAGGAACTGTCAATGAATTTTTGCTGGAGCGCGCGTGGTGATCTCCAGCTCCTATGATAACCAGCAGCCATGACAGAGTTGTGTGGCAACGGTCATCGTGGCAAAGGAGTGTGATGGAGTACGGTGGACATCTTGTGTGCATCTGGACCACTCAAGTCACGCTCGGCTAGTCGGCCCAAACGGGTCGGCGGCCAAACAACGAACATCACCTTCCCATGGACGAGCTCAACGGGAATCTAATAAAAAAAATAAAAAACAGCATACACACACACCAGCATCAACACCAGCATCAGCATCAGCACCACCAGCAACACAATGATTAGAAACAAGAGCAGCAGCCGCAGCAAAAACAAGAACAGCAACAGTCGGAGTGCAGGACAAACTGACAGGCTACTGAGACATTCAACGACCTGAGACCTAGCAGTGTCCTGTCAGTTTTGTGCTCTGTTATAGCACTTTCTGACTGCTTATTATCTTGTTACAGTCGTGCATAGTTGCTTTAAAAAAAAGAAATAACACTTGAATGTAGGGGTCAAAGGGGTGTTCCGGGTACCCGCCCGTTAATCTCAGGTACCGTTAATAAAAGAGTACCCGTTTGGATTTCGATGATCCAGTCAGTACGGAACGACACTGCTGGGATCGCGCATTCCAGGCGGGAGTCAATTATTTACAACTCCACACTGGATGTCTGCATTGTTGTTGCATTTGTGAACCTAGTAGATCTACCTCTGCAACTATCAGACACAAATCATTTGCAAATCATAATGTGATATCAAAATTCAACCTGAGATCAGATAAATTAAGATCATGATTTATGTGAAAATTGCGCAAAAATTAAACATGGCTGCTAAAGGGTACCCGTTAACCCGCTCGTTAAGAAAATTACCCGTTCGTTAGTTAAAGGTACACCCGTTTGACGCCTACTTGAATGCCTTACCGGTCCATAGTAATTGCTGTCCGCAGAGGTCTCCGGGTGGTCTCCCTCGACCCAGCAGTGATACCGTGGTATCTTCACCACTTCATCGTGGTAGCGCGGCGTTCTAAGAAAGAATCATAGACGCGTATACACTATACAATATTGAGCTTGATTTCATGCTTGTGGACAAAGATTTCGGCAAAATATTCACATTTTATCGCACGAAGTTGGGCAGACTTACTACGATACATTAATGAACTACAGGCATTTCGGCTCACAATTTGCCAGGTGTATACCAAAGAAAAAACTTCAATAAGTCATCAGGAAACACAGTCACCCTCCTCAACCACATGTACGGTAAACTAAACATAATATGAAAGATTCACCCTGCGCACAAGCCCTGTATAAACAGCATAATCAATCCACTAACACCGCTGGTAGGTTAGACTCACAACACACTGTCACCAGGAAGTGCAATGATCCGCTTCACCACCTTGTCACCGTGCGGGTTACGTGGATTCCTGCAGGACGCAGCACAAAGACAGACTAGTTTGTTTCCCTGGGCTGTGTGAATTGGTACTCGTACTCCTGGTGATCGCTACAGAGATAGAGCTAGGAAGCTTTGTGAAGATGACCGAAACTCAGATCCGATTCCGAACACATGTATCTTTTTGTGTACCAATTAATTGCTATCGCTAAGATAGACAGTTCAGCACAGGCCCACTGTGCCATTGCTAAGAGAGACAGTTCAGCACAGGCCCACTGTGCCATTGCTAAGAGAGACAGTTCAGCACAGGCCCACTGTGCCATTGCAAAGATAGACAGTTCAGCACAGGCCCACTGTGCCATTGCTAAGAGAGACAGTTCAGCACAGGCCCACTGTGCCATTGCAAAGATAGACAGTTCAGCACAGGCCCACTGTGCCATTGCTAAGAGAGACAGTTCAGCACAGGCCCACTGTGCCATTGCTAAGAGAGACAGTTCAGCACAGGCCCACTGTGCCATTGCTAAGAGAGACAGTTCAGCACAGGCCCACTGTGCCATTGCAAAGAGAGACAGTTCAGCACAGGCCCACTGTGCCATTGCTAAGAGAGACAGTTCAGCACAGGCCCACTGTGCCATTGCTAAGAGAGACAGTTCAGCACAGGCCCACTGTGCCATTGCAAAGAGAGACAGTTCAGCACAGGCCCACTGTGCCATTGCAAAGAGAGACAGTTCAGCACAGGCCCACTGTGCCATTGCTAAGAGAGACAGTTCAGCACAGGCCCACTGTGCCATTGCAAAGAGAGACAGTTCAGCATGGGCATGTGAAGGTCCATCACACCATGCGGCCAAGCCATGGATGTTTCTCACGACAACGTCGGTCTAATTTTCCACATGGAGAGACAGAGAAGTAGGCAGTATTCTCGCAGAACCGATGAATGTCCAATGTACTTGTACACTGCAGCAGTATATCAGATTTGCTAGTCCAGCACCTCCACAATCCAGCAGAATTTCACAGCTGGGGCCGGATTAATGATAATATATGAACAGGTCGCATAGTGCCCGCATAAACAAATCATACGGGGGTCATGCACACTTGAAGTAAGGTACTATTATGGAGGGTCCTGCAGCATTCTAAACCTGTTGGTTGACCACTGATATACCGTGCACCGGCTATAAAGTACATACTGTACTGTACATATATCCCCCGGAGGCTTGTAGCTGTACTGATGAGGCCTATATGGCCCAAACAGCTTGCTGTCAGAGTCTACAGCATTGGGTATATCCCCCGGAGGTATTATTTATTTGCTCTTCTGAAGTCCCACTATACACGTACAAATCCAACCCAACCAGCAGTGTATTGGTTGAGCCAGTGCTGGCTACTTCGAAGTGCTTCCCTGGTGGGACAACAATGTAGTGCATTCACTAAAGTGATACTAGCACTGAGAAAAGATGGCAAACACAGCAACGGCAGCTAGTGACTTACGTGGCGTCAACAATGTCCCCTCGTTGCAGCTTATCAGCCTGCTCCATCGTCAGGCGCTTGGCGAGTACCCTGTCTCTCGTGCCATTGTCACGTGGATTCAGTGTGGGCTATGTAGGTTCCATGAATACACCAGAACAAGCAGGCACAAAACACATGCACAGAGCGAGAGAGAGAGAGAGAGAGAGAGAGAGAGAGAGAGAGAGAGAGAGAGAGAGAGAGAGAGAGAGAGAGAGAGAGAGAGAGAGAGAGAGAGAGAGAGAGAGAGAGAGAGAGAGAGAGAGAGAGAGAGAGAGAGAGAGAGAGAGAGAGAGAGAGAGAGAGAGAGAGAGAGAGAGAGAGAGAGAGAGAGAGAGAGAGAGAGAGACAGAGAGAGAGAGAGAAAGAGAGAGACAGAGAGAGAGAGACAGAGAGAGAGAGACAGAGAGAGAGAGAGAGAGACAGAGAGAGACAGAGAGAGAGAGAGAGAGAGAGAGAGAGAGAGAGAGAGAGAGAGAGAGAGAGAGAGAGAGTATGAGGTGAGGGATCCATTGGCAGAAGGCAGAAGCACATCGCTAGACGGCGCAAAGCGTGGAGGCAGGGCCTGCACTCCTGCTCTATCACGGTGAGCGCCTTTGTCTGTAAACAGCTCTCTCTCTCTCTCTCTCTCTCTCTCTCTCTCTCTGTGTCTGTGTCTCTGTCTACGTCTCTCTCATACACAAGCACATGCACACGCGCACACACGCACACACACACACACACACACACACACACTCCTTTAAGTTTTGCTCCGGAAGTCTAAGTCATTGCCATGGTTCCGTCGTAAAGGAATTTCACAGCAAAGCCCAGTAGTCATTGAGCGGCCTGAGCAGGGCAGGCTTACCACTCTCTCGTGGGTAGGTGTCAGCTGATGGCCATGGCCGGACCAACCTTTAGGCCACAAACATGATTGCGTCTACTGCTGAGGAGGTCATGTGTACTAGTATACCCTCCATAATAATACACAAACTGTATGAAAGGCTAAGGTATGGCCGGACCGGTCAAAACCTGCTTCCGCCGGTCCTGCAATGGACAAGAAAAAGTGGTCGCCGTGGCCAGGTGGTCTTCTTATCCAGGTGCAGTGGGTCACGTGACCATATACACGTCATAATACAATCATGTGATGTATCATTTTGATCAGTGTCTCACACTGCATCCACCTATGCTACTCTAGCACGACTCATGTGCCTGGGGTCCTCACTGACTCCGCAGACCTGTCAACTGTCGTGCATGCACCATGTACATCTACACTTCTTGCGCTGAGGTGTAGATCTACCATGCATGGTAGATCTACACATGGTGCACCATGCAATGCGTACATTTACATGTACTAACAGGGTGCAACGCGGTCACGGGTGGGTGGTCGTCGGTCGCGTTGAGCGAGTGGTCGCCTTATCCGAGCTGTTTTGAATATGAATGCGTCCGTGACAAGGAAAAGTGATCGCCATGGTCGAGTGGTCGCCATTACAGGTTTTACTGCATATGAGTGGCGGCAACGCATGTCGCATGGCTGAGTCAGGCATTGCTAAGTCGAAGAGCCGTTGTTGATCATGGGCAAGACGACGATCACATGGTGATCAGCAAAGGCATGCCGTGCCACCGTACACATCCCGTAGAGATGTTCATGTATGCGAGGACTGCCAGAAAGCGAGGAACCATGAGCGAAAACTCTCTCATTTCAGTATTTAGTTGCCTCCGCAGTTTTGCTCGCTGTGTGTGGCTCTGGAACCTAAGTAAAGTTAGTGAAAATGCTCCTAAATCTCTCCTAAATCTCACGTTATTCTCACAGTCACACGAGTTAGGAGTCACAATTATGGCTGTGTTTACATGAGAGGTTTCAACCCGGGTCAGATTTCAACCCGCCTTATACACAAAGTGAATGGTGCGTTTACATGACGCATTGCGCTTGACCCGGGTTGAAATTTCGCCCCGGGGCGAGAAATCGTACTAATGTACGTATCTCGCGCCAGGTTTGAACAGCACATATGCAAATTTTGCGCGAAAGGATTCACGTGACCATACAGGACTTTATTCCTGAAGATGGGCCTGGCCCGAAAATTTGGATTTTATTATTTTTGGAAGAATTTGTAGCCAAGAGACTGTTTTCGAGTACTGGTGTGTAACTGTGTGAAACATGAAGTGGCTACAGTGGAGTCTGCCCACCCTTAGGAAGGTGCATACAGAACTCTAGAAGTTTTTTTCTTTCTTTCTAGAATTGGACTTTTGGCAGCATATCAGTATGTCTTCATGTAAACGCTTACTGTAAAAGCAGAAATTTTCGGTGGTATTTTATTTTCGGTAAATTCGGTGCCGACAATTTTTACCGAAAATAAAACGCACCGAAAATTTCGGTACTACCGGTACTGTATACATGTACAGTACTGGCAACTGAAATCCGACCCCCTTGCCAGGGCGGGCACTGTAGTACAAGTACACTTACCTGGAAAATGGGTTTTACCGAAAATTTCCCTCTACCGAACCGCCCATTTTGGAGAATACCGAAAATATTACACCACCGAAAATTTCTGCTTTAATACAGTACCTTTTTTGTCTATCGTACAGACTTTCAACGTGGGCTGAACTCGACCCGGGTTGAAATTTCTCACGTAAACACAGCCTATTACTACACAAAAATATGTTTTTATGATGACTATACTATACCGCATGCACTGCAAAATTTTCAGAAAAAAATGTCTCATTTCACCCAACAACAAAATTAATGCACAATTGTATACATGTAGTGAGTAAAGTTTTGGGAATACATGTACGATAAGTAATTAGTTTGATCTGCAAATCACGGACACAAGGCCTTACTTTCATGGAACCTCCGCTGACTGTGTCGATGTAGTAAGGACAGACGTCAGCGGCAACAGTCAGGCCAGCAAATACTGCGACGAAGCTACCGCCAAACGCTGCTGCACCCTTCAGAATTGGTCTAATGTATGCCATACTCTACTCTAAAGAGGTAGCTGGAACGGTCCAAGCCTTGCAAAGGACTGGCTGGGACGATGCTGACAAGATGAAGAGGGGACGGTAGAACACGAAATAATCTAAAATTAATAATTCCACATTCGAAATACTCAATGAGTAATGACGTCAGTATGACGAGTACCTATCACAATATGAGCCGGGCCGTGCGAAAAGGGCCCTAACGATGTTCACTGTACAGTGCAGTAACACGCACTTGAAAGTTGACAGGTCGATTACGTCATAGTTCACATACACCACAGTATTCGTGCGCTCGCAACGCGAGTATGGTAAGCGCTAGGCTCTACACTACAGGATAGCACAGTGCGATGGCCCAAGGTCCCAGCTCTACGTGGGTATTTCCCTTTTTCAAATCGGCTAATGTACGGCTGAGATCGAAAAAATTTGCGTCGCGCTTCGGGGAGCGAGCTGCGCTAGTTTGGAAATTTCTCGAGTGCGATTTTACCATCGCTGTTCTTGTTTTGCTATTCCTCCGCCGAGATGAGTATCTATCGACATTTCACTGTTGACGAAGCACTGAGCCTGGTCCTCACCGCCAGTGAGGATCAGTATCTCGCGCCCAGCGCTGAATCTGAATCCAATGCCGACACTAGCGCGAGTGATGACGATTCTGACGGAGAAGAAATTCGAGTGTCACGATCAGCTGTTCCACTTTCCGCTGCTGTCGTTGGTGTCTCCACCAGCCTTCATGGTGACGTTCCAGATGGCTCAGAACCCTGTGACGCGCCAGGATCGCCCAGTGAGGATGACAGTGACGAGCGATCGCTTCAGTACTGGGAAGGTGATGTGGACACGGACACAGCCGTCCATGAGTTTGTTCTGAACGTTGCTGTTGCTTTTTCGGTTCAAGAAAATCAAGAATCAGCGGGGGAACGCTGCTGCTGCTGCCCCTATGCAACAGGTTGGTGGTGCTGCTGAGGGACAGGCTGCTGCTGCTGCTGCTGCTCAGGTGCATGTTGCTGATGCTGGTGAGGGACAGGCTGCTGATGCAGCAGCAGCAGCAGCTGACAATCCAACGAGGTCCTGCGGCTGCACCAAAAACTGCCTCAGCAAGTTCCCATCCAGTGAAGTGGACGATTTCCAACTTACGATGAGAGGACTAGAAAAAGCAGAAAAGGATATGCTGTTGATGGGAGTACTGTTGTCGGCGGAGTACCCACTCTCTGACGCTCAGCGAGGAAAGAGAAGACGTGCAGCATTTGATTATTCGTTCCGCGGAGAGGTTGTATGCGCCGGAGCATTCAGGCAAATCTATGACGTGTCGCAGAGAGTATTGAAAAATATACTCAACCACCTGTAAAACTGCGGACCTGTGCCAGGCATCAACCATAACACGGGACGGCGGCCGCACAATGCCCTGACGTCTGCCATTCCTCTTGGTGGCATAAGTGATGACCGGGCAAAGTACCTGTACAAGGAGATCCGTCCGTTTGTTGCTGACCCGTACAAGGCCGACCTCTGCCCACAGCCCGTACCTGCAGAAGCCGAGATGTCGGATTGACTTACACAGGAATCTGCATGACTCTTGAGGAACAAACAGGGACATAACAAGCTTATGATTCACTGAATGTCATGTTTTTTTTTTAATTTAGCTGAGTTATTCTTGCCATTACGAACCGCTGTCAAATAATCTAGTTTCCATTAATTTATCAGCCGTTTACTCGAAAATACCTTGAAACGCAGGTTACAAAAATCACTATAAATCTGGTTTGGATTGACATTTTTTGGAACGGTTTTTTGCACAGCAATCCTGACAGCTTCAGCTATAATATTGGACACTAAACTCATTTTGACAAAAATCATCATTAGGGCCCTTTTCGCGTGGCCAGGCTCATATGCATATATGATAGGAGTAGGAGGCAGGACATAGACAGTTACGTCATGTATTTCACCAAGACTTAGTAACTACAGTAATACTATTACCAAGAGTATAATTATACTCTTGCTATTACCAAGAGTACATAAACCTTTATGATTGTACTCTTGCACTGATTACTAGTATACTACTGTACATGTATAGTCAATAGTTCATAACTCTTGGTATAATGTTTTTGGATACTATAGTGTTAAAATGCCAATGGAAAAACAGATATGGGCTCTTCTCTAGCTCTGACCAGGGAGTTGTAAAATACCGGTATTTACGACTCCCTGTTGCGAACAAATTGTTTTACAGTATGATGTATCCGACACGGTGCTGCATCGTAACATGATGTCAGTAGTATCTTTGCGATGAATGTGTGCACGTGCTTGTACATGAAGTTGCGGCGAGTATTTCGCCGATCTAAATCCCACCAGCAAATCATGTGTGTACAGTGCAGATAATAAGATAAGGCCGGTGAGCTCGTCTCCTGAGGCTGACACAGCGAAAAAAGGTACGGTTCCGAGCCATGAAATAAGCGTGCATCCACGGCCATTTCCAACACTCAGTACTACATGTAGTACCAAGTCGCAGGCCAGAGAACAAACGGGGACGCCAGTCGATACCTACAAGAACAATTGTAGCTAAGACACCATAAGCCTCAAGCCAGTGGATGAGCAAACTGCGCCATGACTACAGCGACCACTATAGAATAAGAAAACACGCTGGAAAAGGAAAATATCCACAAAGAGAGCCTATGGATCAGCGCTGAGAAAGGAATGAGTAAGATGAAGATAGTGCAATTTGGAAATGGACGGCTAAGGCAATTCAACAAATACATCGAGACAGGCAAGCATGCATAGACGCCAGTGTTCTACTAAACAACCACTAATAGCATGATTTATATGAGAGAGTGCAATGAAGACTTGACCACCGAAAAAAGCAAACACATCTACTATACGCTGATCATGCAATATGCATTATAAGTTTCAACATCAAATATATATATGGGGGGAGGTCTCACACTGTCTTCAGTTTGATGAAAGTCAGCTTTGGCTGGGAAGTAGTCTGTTTCTCACATTCTGTGTTGTCATGATTGGTTGCCAAACAACCACGCACCCTATCTAATACGCGACGATTTGCGTGAGTCATTTCAAATACGGGGCTCTGGATTCGCCCCAAAGGAGAACACGTCTAGCGCTTCTTTGGCACGCTTGGCAGAGGCATGTTGATACCGTAGCGCAAAGCAAACACTACTGAGATTGCCATAGCTATCAAAATCACTAGCATGATGATTGCCTGTCGTCGGGAAGAGCCGCCAAGAATGTCGCATGATGATGTCGTTGCTACAGGTTTCGCTTCGGGCTCCACAGAGGAATCGCGCTGTGTTATAGCACGGCGACTACGAGGTAGAGGGGCGGGCGAGGCTCCGTCAGGAACAATGTCTGCCATGCGTGGTCCTGGATTATTCAGTTGGAGCTTTTCAATTTCAGAGCGGCGCCGAGTGAGCGAACTGCTGCGGGATCTCCTGCTTGGAGATTTGCTAGCCCCACTGTCTGTCTCTGATGTGCCTTCATCATCAGATAGGAGAAGTGGCTTGGACTTCACCTTCTTAGCTGGGGTGCCAGGAGCTGAAGCGTTCTTCTGTGGTGTGCCTGAAGCGTCAGCATTGATGCTGTCCCTCAAGATACGTCTATACAAGTCACGGGTTGAAGCCGTGATTGGTCCTGGTGTGTGACCACGTCTGGTGAGCTCCTGGCGCAGTGCATCGTCATCAAGATCACTGGCAGAGTCGCTGTTCTTTTGCGGTGTCGAGGGGGTTGGGCGACGGACAAGGGACCGCCTGCCCTTGGGTGATGCAAGTTGGGCCTACACGCAACAGAGAAGAAGCCAAGATAACAGCATTGTTGTGTGTAGAGTTTGTGCATGAGCTTGATTTCCACCCAATGCTCTATAAACCACACTGACGTACATAGTGACAAGAGTAAACACTGATCGCAGTGCTCCACCTGACATGATATTTTTTCATGTACTGTAACTAGTACTGGCTGTGTTCAGCGGTGGATGTAATTGACTGGACCGTACACAACCAAAGACAGTAGATGTGTACTCATGCATTGAGAAATGAGCGATCTACCGTCAGGAATGCTGAGTAATAACATCTGTCAGTCCCAAGCACTCAACAGCAAATGAAGAGTAGCTTTACGAGGAGCACAGAAATACACGAACAGACGCCTAGACTGTACTGAGCGAATATTTATTGTACAAGACGTGAAACAAACTTTTCCATATGTGAAAGGTTCACAATCAGGCATCAGTTGTACGACCCACGCATACAACATGCCAGTGATTTTCAAAAAAATGTCGACCAAGTCAGACTGAACGGGAAGCAAACACTAACTATTACTTTGCAAGTGGGGTTTGATACTCAAAGAGGCAATAGGAAGGGCACGAGAAAAACACATTGGATGAAGGATAATAATTCTCCCAAGATCGGTCATACTCACAACAGTTCACACATACCAACACGTACAAGGACAGGTATACGGGTAGGGAAACCGGCGAAACCGCTCCCTGTACGTGCGAGCTTCCGAAGTACTAAATTTCTACCCAAGCACTCTCATGGTTCGCTACAAAGTCAACCCACCACAGCACCTGCTACAAGCTTACCGTTGATGGCTTATCTTCATCATCAGAGAAGGCTGTTGGTGGGGCTGACCTCCTTCTTGAGTTCGTATAGAGGTCAACGTAGTACTTCTTCAGCCTTCCATCCTCGAATGGCACCTTTTGCTTCTTGAGCTCATCCTTCAGCTGAGCAACTGTCAACGTCGCCATTCTCAACAAATTATGCCACCGATAGCTTTCAGGGAACTAGAATGTGAACCAAGATTGGAAAGAGAGAAAAGGAGAGTCTGACATGCCGTGGGGAACAACAAGACACGGATTTCGTATGTGAAGGCGCTGCATGCAGTGCATGCAGCGGATCTTCGACTTCGAGGTTCGCGCGGTCTGCGACTCTCACGCAACACGTGAGCTGAGTGGATAGATTTCAAAACATAGAAGTGGCGGTTGATCAGAGTATAGTGAGAGTCAGGGAGTCGTAAAATACCGTTATTTACGACTCCCTGGTCCGCACTAGTATAGTCCGTGCGCCAGACCCTGTTTTGGCCCGATTTTTATTTTCTGCGCGGGAACCATACATGCAGACGTTATGCAGGGAAAGATGACGACGCCGGTCAGTAAATTGTTGGCCGATTTGTTCCCTACCTCGAGGCCAGTCGGTGAAATGAGGGCTTCCTTCTTCAAGAAATATGTTGCCAGTCGTTAGTCGGATGCCACTCGTCTTCTAAACATCGTACTTGATGCAACCAGCGCAGTTGGATGGACGGGAGGCGAGGAATTTATCGTTTTCGATTTTCACCCTATTCTGGGTTGCCATTACATTGCAGCTGGCAGCACCACGAGGGAATTTTTTGCACAAGGGAGACTAGGTGAATTCAACTCCTCAGAGATATCGCCATGACAGGGTAAGGTTATTTTAGCCCTGAAATTGTGTACAAACCAACGGCACGAAATTATGGAAATATTTATTTTTTCGCGATAATTGCATGTTGGTTGAAAAATGTAGCCATCTTTGTATTGTGGAATCCTGGCGGTGTATTTCGTAACTATACTGCATGACAATATTATTTATGAGAAATGGCAGCGATTGCAGCGATTGTGAACAATGTACAATCAACAGCATTGGCAAAATTGATGCAGAGCTGTATGGTACTTTAGTACAATTTGCCTGTATATTGGTATTTTACACACAATGCATGAAACAGAAGAGCAAAATTATTATTGACTTATCAATTTATAGTTAGGACATGAATATGAAACCCATGACCAATGCCAATGACCCAGGGTCTGTGCACCTGCATTCAAATAATCCCCTGTGGCATAATCATGTACTCTGTGCACACATACTTGGGGGGGGCGATACTTGCTGCTTTACACGGTGGAAATTGTGGTGCTATGCTGCTTGGTATGTGTGTGTGTGTGTGTGTCTGTGTGTGTGTGTGTGTGTGTGTGTGTGTGTGTGTGTGTGTGTGTGTGTGTGTGCGTCTGTGTGTGCACACTTCACTTTCCGGCTGTGTATTGATGCCTATGTAGATATCACCATGATCAACAGGGTCAAACGCTTCCAGCGGACAACAGTGGATCACCTCATTTCTCCCACTGGAGTGGTCCTAGCTTGAAGTGATGTATGACTATCAATTCTATTGACTAGCCTTGAGGCATGTACCAAACGTCAGCATGTCTGTGATATCAATACATCACACTTACATTTGAAAGCTATATGCTGGAAGGCAGTCAAGTGGGCTTTTCGTCAAACACAACCCTACCAATGAAATGAAGGCAACGGGCAGAGACCACTAATGGTAGGGCCATACAAGGTGGCTGTGCCAGTGGGGAAGACCCAGCTCAACAAGGTGTTATTGCAAGTTTGATCGGAACAGCACCCTGGTCCAAATCCTCAATATCAGTGAATCTTACTGGTCCATGTGGCTGCTGCCTTGACTCGTGATGCCTACGATTGGATGCAAGCTGCACGAAGTATGTTGCAAAGAAGAGTACAATGGATCTTGAACTTAGCACGAGAGGCGTGCACTTCGTTGATAACAGCAGAACCTTTGCATGACTATCATAACACTCTCTTTATTGCAATATTTAGCCAATGCTCCATTTGTTGTAGCAGCTACCACACAACTACAAGTATGCATTCATTACCTGGCTGGCTTGTATAAACTTGTGAATGCAATCACGTGATGCTTTGTGCACATATGCTCCCATACTTTAGCGGATGTGCGCGTGTGTGTGTGTGCATGTTTATGGGTGTGTATGTTCGTGCACGTACGTACGTGTACATGTCTGTGCGTTTACATGTACATGCAGACGTGTGTGGGTTTGTTGAAAAAAGGGCATGAACACGTGTCAATTCACATGTGCATGTATGTACGGGTGTATGGTTAACGTATTCTTTGCTCCATGCGTCCGCTGTGAATGAAGGTACGAGACTTTATGTGTCATAGCTTGTGGCGGTTGTTCTGTAAATAGTAGCACCGTATCCTGGCCATCCGCAGATGCCATTTTTTAACTTCAATTCTGCATTGGCTCAGGTGCTGTGTTTGTAGTGTCATACTCTCTGCATTTAAAATTATTTATATTTCTTTCCCACCTCAGTACTGTATTTGGCTTGATATTGTTGCTGTTGTACATACAAGTATAGGCACATGCATTGATCTGCGAGGGTTTGTGTTTGGAGCTCCAGCAACCTGTTGGGGTTCGTGTTGTTTGTAAATTCGTGGTCTACGGATATAATGGTCTGGCTGGTACATCGCAGAATACTAGGACCCCTTGAACGATTCTGTCGGTCGTTCATAAGTCCACCAATTGAAGACATGTGTGTGTCAAAATGTGTCAAAAATACAGTGTTGACAAAACGGTTGGTATCACCGCTGTCGGATATTTTGCACAAGCCAAAATTGGAGGATACACTGTTGGCTAATATCTCTTTCTAATTAACTAAGCAGGAAATAGCGAAACCCTTGTACAAACCAACGGCACGAAATTATAGCATGTTCAACCAAAATATCGGCGACATAACGAAAACGCAAGCGACGAGCGAGAACTCAACTTCTCGTTATTTGTTATCGCCACGGACAAAACTTAGGGCAGAGAACAACTATTAGGTTGGATTTCGACAACGATCTGAGACGAAGAACTCACGGGAGACGTAAACCAAAGGACGACGAAGGTGACGCCATTGAGTATTCGTCTTGCGATATCTTGAGAAAACTGCGAAATCTGGCAAATCTGGAAAATAAAAGTGCAACTTTTAGACGACTTTTTCTGAACTGGCGCACGGACTTGCACGCGCACGCGTTCTCGATCTCCTGTCGTCCTGATCGACGTTTTACCGCTCATATCAGATGGCATCGCTAGTAGTAGTACTACTACTGTACTAGTACTGAGTAGCTACTTGCGTGCGCACCCTGCCCGTAGCCGTAGTACCCGGTACGAGTCGCGCTCGGAGTCGTACCCCGGCCCGTACCCCACACTGCACTGGCACAACACTACGCACTTGCATGCTACATGCGCTAGCGCATAGCGTATCGCTAGCGATAGCATGCAGCACATTTTTATTTCATTTCCATCAAATCAAAAAATGGCGGGAGAGATCCACGCGACATGCACCGTACCATGTTCATGCATGACTTTTGAGTTTTACCAGCGCAGTGACGCCACGGCCACGTGTGTGATGAGGGACCGGATCCGCGAACCGTGCAGACGCACATGTCATCTCAAATAAAATTTTGATTCTGTTTTTGTAATTGTTTACTAGCAAGAGTACGTACTCTTGGTAGTAGAGATATATGATCTCTCATTCAACAGAGGTAGGCTAGACTAGAGACATAATAGAAGCTGCTTACAAACGCAGCAAGGAAATCAAGTCGCTAAGGTTAGCTTTTGGGCGATAAATGTTGAGGCTTACCAAAGCCATGCAAGTCACAAGGTCAAGTAAGTACATTGCATTTTGCAACTGGCGCTTTGGCGTTCCTTTTTTTTATACCGGTATTTTTTATCTATCATTACCTTTACCAGCTTCACTGTATGGAGACCATATCAGTAGGTCTACGTGTTTACATAATAATAATAATAATAATACAGATCGCATGTCTCCCAAATAATGGGTTCCACGCATCTGTCAACTGCTTCATCCTGGAAGAATAGCGTACAAAAACAATATGCAAGTTCTAGTACATGACAAGTAACTTACATGCCATTTTTTTTATACCGATGTACATTAAATTTTGTTCATAAAGGTCCTTTAATTAAAGGCTTTGAGCTATCACCTCAAAATACCTCTTAGTTGAGTGATGAAAGCAAAGAAAAGACAGTATGCTATCAGGGTACAATAACTACCGTAGTGATGCGCATTTAAGCACATGTGCCTATACCCGGGCATAAGCGCACCCTCACAATTTAGCGTATGGGCTTATAATAAGTGAACCTATATTCAATTCCATCCCGCGACACACGGAGTCACGGACACCACAAAAACACCATGTTCACATAGTTTAATGTGCGGCGCGGTATCACACTATTTGCACCATTATACAATGTACCAATACACTAGCAACTCAAGCGCATGCGTCTATGTGTGAGACAAAACGACCCACAAAAAATAGCGAATAACGCAAAAACTCACTCATAAGCGCATGGGCCTTTATGTGCATCACTACGGCAATTTATTTATACCGTAAAATCCCGCCAGAGCGCCCCGTCTCTCCCATCCGCCCCTCCCTGACTTCTTGTCAGGGACGTGATTGTCAGGGACGTGATTCATTGTATCCTCGTATGACTCTGTCACAGTCTGTGATGCCGTACTGTACTGCAGACGCGTGCTCAACCCCGTTGGAAATGTACGCAACAGTGCCCACCCTCTTGACCAGGGATCGCACAAACCCTGAGAGTTTTGATGGGTCTGTACGACTCCTGCCTCTTGACCTTTGGTCGGTGTACGAGATGCACCAACAGTTTTCGTAGGGTGAGTACTTTTTCATGTAGTACTGAATGCGGCAAGTAGGACTCGCCCATCCGCCCCTCCCCGCCAGAAGCGACGAGGAGGTAGGGGCGCTCTGGCGGGATTTTACGGTACTGGCCAAATGTATTGAGTTGTGGATGGGATCACTTCTCCTGTGAGTTGCCATGTAATGTAGTTTATTGTGAGAGCTACTTGCACAAGATCGTTCCACGCAGCATTAGGACAGGACAGTCATATGCATTTTCAAGAATGCGGCATGCAGTGTTCAAAAAGGATACCCAGAGTCTTAGTCTCATCCGCATTGCGCTCAAGCTCAGAGTACCGAAAGAGACGATAAACCAAAATGTTAATAATTGATTAATAATTGGGTCGCCACTTGTTCGTCTCTGGTTGACTTTATGGAACCCCCCCCCCCCCCATGTGAAATTTGTAGCCTTGAAATGGTCAAAGAAGGGTGGCCAAGCTGAAAAGAAACAGTAGTGACCATCGATTTCTGTTACGATAGAATGTTCACAGTAGATGCAAATTTTGCAGGCTGAGTCTGTACACCGAACGGTTTTCTGGTTCCTATTCTCAGAGGCATATCGTGGCTGAGGTCAAGTTTATGGTTTCTGTGTGCTTTGTCCATGCTTTGTTCATGCTACGATGTTTGCGGTTTTGTTGGCAGTCGGCATAGTCGGCGTATTGAAACTTTTCTCCGCTGGTTGCGGCTGTTGAAGCCCAGTATCTTCAGTGCGAGGCATTGCGGCGGAATGTGTTGTCCATTGCTTTTGCAGTACACGGTTTCAGGCTATGAGCTCCGTGTGATCGGGGTTATCACGGCGCTGGCCACTTTCAACGTGCACTGCGCTACACCCTACACGATAATTCCTGGCTTTTGAAATTGCTGCTCGGCAGCAGTTCCTTATTTTAATTATCCCCATTCTTCCTTGTGCGTACTTTCTTGGTGTGTAGACTTCCGCAGCTCGCTGGAGTCTGTCTATGATTCCATCAACGGAGCCGACTTGCTGGCGTTTGATACTGAGCTAACTGGTAAGGCAAACTACCTAAGCTCGGATGAGCTAAGTCTTCGCCTGGAGGCTCCGGTGGTGAGCCAGCGAAGATCACGTGCACAGAGTTCGAAACTGTCATGTGTAGCACTTTTATTTCCATCTCTTGTTTCTGCTTCATTCTGTCACTCCTAACTCTGTGCACAAATGGCTTGTTTTTGTTGTTGTTGTTGTCTAAAAGCAAATTTGTGGCTGTGCATGTCCTTTCAGGCTTGTTAACAGGAGATCAAAAGGAGGACTTCCTAGACTCTGTGCCTACTCGATACACTAAGCTGCTGAAGGTGAGTGGACATGTTGCTGGCTTTAACCAATAGACCTTGAAGGCAGTGGGAGTTGTGAAAGCACACCTTGCTGGCACGTTGCTTTCTTGTTTGTGCTATTGCGGGCGCAGGCGCTGCAAAGAGGTCGAAGCTTGCTTCTTGTTTCTGATTGTGCCATGGTCTCTCTCCTATTTGCTGCTGCTGCTGCTGCTTCTGCTGCTTCTGCTATCATCTTCATTGCCGTTGAACCCCACCTTGCCCAGGGCTCAGATCCGTTCATTATTACACAGTTTGGTCTGTGTACGTTCACATGGTGTAACAGCACATTAAGGTAAGTCACCAGCCACTGCACAGCGCTCTTGTCCGTACAATAGAACCCTACTTGCCAGGGTGGCCCGGGACCGAAAAGGTGCCCGCATCTCAGAATTGTTCACAACTCGGAAATGCATGTACACTATAAGTACAATGTATATGGTGTGGACGTCTCTTCATTTGACCTGACTCGTCTCAGTGATAATGCTTGCGAATGAGGTTATCATTTGCAAGCATACGCAGTAAGAGGCAAGGGTTATGATCCTGATGCAGTGAAGTGGTTTAGCTGACCGGCACGAAAAGGAAGACATTGTCCAGATTTGACTGCACGTGCCTGCCTGCTTGCAGGGTGACTGGCTTAGGGACGTGTTCGGATATGGGAGGTTCGATTGTACAGTAAAACCTGTGTTTGCCGGACTCTGTGCCGAGCGGAATCCTGTATTGACCGGACAAACGTTCGCGCACCGACGTGCTGTAGATTGAACTTACATCCCTGGCTGAAGCAGAATCCTGTCATATGAGGACAGTTTTCACTGCACCAAGGGCGTCCGGTTAGGGCAGGTTTTACTGTGCGTGAGTTTAAGTTAAGTAACAACAGTGCAGGCAGATATGCTAGTAAATTGGTGGCAATCTCTTTGGTATTCAATCCACTTCAACCAGACTTTACATGCGCGCAGCCAAGCTGACGCATTCCTATTGTGGTTTATTTCTTCTTCACTTCTACTTAGGTATGAAGCGAAGCCGTTCAATTTCTTCACGTTCCCCTCCACCCTCCGTGGCATTCAACGGGACAGGTGGTTCGTCTGTCAGGTTAGAGACAACATGTTGTTTTGCTAGCAACAGTGCCACCTTGGTTGTGTGTCCGCTTGAGGGAGGTGCCCGGATATGGGAGGCTCGGGTTTTGAGAGGCTCCAGTGCACAGTGGTGGCGTATGTAACCATGGCAATCATGACACCTGCCTTGAAGGTATCAGGCGTTCTGGCATCCACTCTGAGCCAATCCTACGCATAGTACGAGCAAAGAAGTGTGAGCCCGACGAGCGTTGGGTAGCTACTGAGTGAGATTTGTGACAAGACGGTGTGAAGAGTCTTTGATAGCCGACGCCCTTAGTTGAGAGAGTGAAGCGAGCCAAGCTAGCTGTTGCTTGCGATTAGTTTCTTCAGCGGCGGATCCAGCGATCTCTACAGGGGGGGGGTCCAGTTTAGTCAAAACTGAATAGCTGATACATGTATATTATGCACATGCATATGACCTTCAGTAGTACATTTACAAAATTTAGAGGGTTCCGCGGAACCCTGGAACCCCTCCTGGATTCCTCCCCTGTAATAACTGAAGTTGTTATGGGTGCACAATTGATCTTATTGCATTTTACGAGTATTGTATCCTCGTCGGTTGTTTTTTCGCTAATTTTTCCTTCCTTTCTTCTACTGCAGAGTACTTCTATAGAGTTCTTGTGCGCCAACAACTTTGATTTCAACAAGGTTTTCCGCGAGGGTAAGTAGACAAAGATTACGATCTTGTATGAGTATGGTGCTGTCAAGTTCAATGCAGTGATGTGTACGTGTGTATGCGCGCGTGCGTGTGTGTTTGTGTGTGTGTGTGTTTGTGTATGTTTGTGCGTGTACACACACACTCCCATGCACACACGCGTTGGGAGGGGTGTACGATATTTATGAAGAGTGTTTGTGTAATTTAATTTGTTTCAATGATGTACTTTATTATGCAGGCATTTCCTACCTTCGGCAAGAAGAGGAGAAGACCTTCCGTGACAATCTAACAAAGACAAAAAACATATTGGCAGTGGCGCCTAAAATCGACGTGCCTGAAGATCAGAAAGAGTTTATGGATGGCATTGTGTGAGTTAGTGCCCCAGAGCTGGCTTTGTAGTTACTCGCGCGCGCGCGCGCGCGCGTGTGTGTGCATGTGCGTGTGTGTGTGTGTGTATGTGTGTGCGTGTGTGTGCATGTGTGCGTGTGTGTGTGTGTGTGTGTGTGTGTGTCACTGTATGTTTGAGTTTGGTTTCGAACCGCCCATGTCTTTTGTGTGCTTTTAATCCCTGGGAGGATCTCTGCGTGGCCATTTTATAAATAGTTTATTGGGCACCATCACGTGTTGTGTAGTGGCGTCGGTCAAAGAATACGTCTCCGTGAGCGGAGCATTTGCAGTAGGCCGAAGCTGTGCTGTCAACATGTAATATTTGGTGGGCAGATTGATTCACACACGGGCAAGAAGGCAGATATGCCTGTTCGATCGGTGAATAAAAATAAAATACCCCACCATACGTCCATGGGCAAGTTGCAGTCATTTTACATTATCACACGCTATCACGCAAGACTGTCGTAACACACAGTTCAGACTACCACCAGCACACGTTGGTATGTAAAAGCTCTGGTACACGTATCCATATGCGTAATGGACTGTCTTTCTTCTTTTTTTCCCGTTGCGTTTCTCCCTGCACGTTTCAGCTCGCGAATGACTGCGTTTCAAAGCGGGGACGGTGGTTTAATGCTGGATCTCCCTCCTTGTAACGGGTAAGGCGGGATGCGTCCCAGCGCAGGTGTGTGCTTTTGTGGATGTACATGTCCTGCAGGGCTTCTCAACGAAATTGAATGGTGTGGGTAAACTTGCCGTGCCGTCCCAGACCTGCGAACACTGTACTGTGCCCCTGGTGTAGGGTGCTGACTTTTCTTGTGACTGGACTGTGGTGAGCATCTCTGTACAACACAAGTGATATGGCACTTATGATGGGTTCTTTTGAAATGGGCAGGGGTACAGCACCCTCATCCAGAATGCATGAATATCTGGTTTGTAGACCGTGGAGAACAGTGTCATGTAATTTGTTGCATTTCCTTCTGCTTGGCAGATTTCAGAGAAAGCTCATCTTTCAGCAGAAGGACGCGTTCCCCGGTCTGCATATGCACTCTGAGCAGAATGAGAAGGTAAGACGGTGTATGCGTGTGTGCGTGTGTGTGCGTGTGTGCGTGTGTGTGTGCATGTGCGTGTGTGGGTACGCTAGCGGGTTTACTGAGCGTACATGTATGTTCTGTAATAAGGCCATGTCACCTCCAGCCACTCCTGTCTCATTTTGGCTTTTTGAGCACATCAGACGCATGCAAGGACTTTGCAGTGATAGTTGCTGTCGAAAAGGCACATATTTCTATCACTCAACTTTTGTTGGTATTCATGGTCGCAACGACAATTCAATCTTGGTCAAAGTGGCCTCCAATCTGGGTGCATCTTTGTAATTGGAAACTGCTGGTATTCCTCTTGCTGCTCAGAACGAGCGCTTTATTCGGTGTGTTCGTCTGGTCGGCGATCCTAAAACAGCAGCAGACAAGCTAGCAGAAGAGAAAGAGAAGGTAAGTTATTTTATCAGTTTTCGTGGAGATGGAAGTGAAATCAACAGAATAAGTAAAGCAAGCTGCGCATTCGAAACACACACACACACACACACACACACACACACAGACACCATTCGCACAGGTTATTTTAGTTGAGTTTGCAGTGCTGTACACCGTACTCCTGGTAAGCCTTTGATGATGCTCATGTGAAGCTACATGTACTTCAGAGTAGGAATTGTGTTGCGGGACGCCTACTTGACAACTTTGTGTGTACGATTAGATGGTTTGTGAAGTGTTTGGCTTGGAGATTTCAAGGTACTTCACCATCCGGGTGGTGTTCAGTTACACAGATGTGTGCATCAGTGTTTAAAGCGTGTCCATTACCGTTGTGTGCGCATGTGTGTGTGTGTGTGTGTGTGTGTGTGTGTGTGTGTGTGTGTGTGTGTGTGTGTGCGCGTGTGTGTGCATGTTTGTGTGTTTTGTGACTGCATTTTGTTGAATGATGGCTGCAGGAGGCTATTGAGAATGCTGTGGGTGTGAGTCTGGTCTTCAAAGCCATGATGGATTCGGTTAGTTTGATCTCTGTGAATTGTATTTTCCGAAGCATAAGCTGCACCCAGAATTTTCTTGTCACGAAATACAGACGTCTACCCTGTATTTCACGGTTTGGTTGACCATCATAGTCTAAGCCGCACCGGATTTTTTTGGTTAACTACGAGTGTTTTAAGTGCTGCGTATACGCCGGAAAATATGGTGTCCTGCTTGAGCCTTGATGCGATGTGCACTGTATAGATTGTATGTATTTCCTCCGCATGTGCATAAGTGAATGCGGCTTACGAACATCACCAGCACGTTGGGATTAGTGAAGTGTGAACCACTCTCTGTACGTCTGTGACATTCTATGCCGGCCCAAAGCCTGGACGATTGAAGAGATACGGCGCTGCCAATAACAGTGTCTTTCTGCGCGCTCCACTCGACAAATGATATGCTTGAAGTATCTCAGCTCATCGTTTATGGGTGGATATAGAGCTTATGCCTGAACGAAGCTGAGCAGTTGTCAGTTGACAAACCACCCTGTCCATGTATGATGCAGTTGTGTAGACGCATTTTTCCTTAGAATCGCATGGCGTGGATCTGAATTGGCAAAGAAACCTGCTTTTGCGTTCTGTGTATGATGTAGCTGTGTAGAGTCTATCCGCTGTCAAGTCTTAGAGGTATCAGTGACCTTGCGGTGTTGTTCAATGCAGGGTAAGCTCATTGTTGGACACAACATGATGCTGGACGTCATTCATAGTCTGCGGCAGTTTCATTGCAAGCTTCCTGAGGTAGGGAGAATCTGACGGCCCAGTGCCTGCTGTGTACTGTGTGTACGAGTATGTCTTATGTGATGCTCCCTCTTTCAATCTCTCTCTCTCTTTCTCTCTCTCTCTCTCTCTCTCTCCCCCCCCCCCCCTCTCGCTCTCTGTCTGTCTCTCTCTCTCTCTCTCTCTCTCTCTCTCTCTCTCTCTCTCTCTCTCTCTCTCTCTCTCTCTCTCTCTCTCTCTCTCTCTCTCTCCTCTCTCTCTCTCTCTCTCTCTCTCTCTCTCTCTCTCTCTCTCTCTCTCTCTCTCTCTCTCTCTCTCTCTCTCTCTCTCTCTCTCTCTCTCTCTCTCTCTCTCTCTCTCTCTCTCTCTCTCTCTCTCTCTCTCTCTCTCTCTCTCTCTCTCTCTCTCTCTCTCTCTCTCTCTCCTCTTATCCTTCCCCCTGATCAAACACGTCCATTGATGCTGCCACCTCATGACCCCCAATACCTACTTGTCCTGCGTTTGCACGCCTGTTCTTGCTCTCTGTGCATTTATATTCATCTGATGGCAGCATGGATGTGTTTGTTTTTGTGTTCAGGAATTTCCTGAGTTCCAGAAACTAGTTGTGCAAAGCATGCCCAGGTATGTACTAGTATGCAGTACAATGTACTGAAGAGCAGTGTGGACTCAAGTATAATGTACATGTAGTGGGGACTCAAGTACTTAATTTAACTGCTGATCTTGCTGGTTTCTAGCACCTTGTGTGTAGTTCGGTTGGTGGGTACACTTATGCCAGATAGTGTTGGGCCTGTTGCCAACGGGCTCGGCTGCTTGAAGGTGTATTGTTGTACCTACCACCTTTGTTGGTTTCAGGGTTCATATACTTTCTATTTGAAGTATACATACCTGTTAACCATGGACTGCTTCTGGCTAGATTAACTCTTGTGTAATCAATGGTGCTAGTGAAGCTTGTGAAGCTTATATCAGATCCACTCTGATTTAGCCACCCACACTAGTACCAAGTATTACCTTCACTGGGGGCAGGGGTACCTGCAGTTGGATCCCGGGACGGATACCCTGATGCCGTCAATCCTTTTTCTGCACCTTGTCCTCACCCACTTACTGAGGTGTGGTGAGCCCATAAGTGGGATCATTTCAAGTCCACCCTAGTTTGGGGATTTCAGGGGGTGTCGGCCGTTGGGTGGTTCAATGGCCAATTGAGTCATCTTTCCAAGATTCCTTTTGAGTCTCTCTCCCCTCTCCCGGGGAGACCCACGTGACCAGTTTTGGCAGTGAGCAAGTACAAGTAAGTACAAGTACAAGTGTGTCTCCCTGAGCCGATTTTTGAGTGGTGTGCCCGCAGTTAGATTCAAGTCTTTGCTCCTCTTGCTGCTGCTGCTGCTGCTGCTGCTGCTGCTGCTACTGCTGCTACTAAAAGGTGTTGTTTTGAACGCACAAAGCAATGATGATATGAATACAAGAAGAGCAATGAGAACAAAGAATTCAAGAATTGAACAAAAGTTAAACAGCAAATTTGAAGGATATAAATGTGAATGGCAACAATAATTTTATGAAAAAGGGGAAAGAAAAGAAGAAGAAAAAAGCTGCAAACAAAAACTCTTTGAACACCGCCAGAAAGGAAACAATAGAATTAAGATTCATACAAAACAAAAACTTTAGGACGCTGCTGCTGCTGCTGCTGATGATGATGTTCATCTTGAAATTCCCGTGTTGTTGATCGCTTTCACTGCATGTGACCTGGTATGTTTGCTGCTGGCATGTGTGTGTGTTCCCGTCGTTGGTATTGTTGCATTTCTTCTCAGACTTGTGGACAACAAGCTATTAGCCAAGCACGACAAGTACCAGGTAAGGCTCCTTGATTCTTTCCCGGGAGAGAGTGGCGTGACCTGGTACACGTCTACTGATCAAGTGGTCGCTTGTAGCCTCAACAAGCCAGTACTACTTAAAGTAGTATTTAAGAATTTTGTAGATGGTGTGTGCTGGGCCGTTATATTAGCTGTTGATTGTTACTGAGCGCTAGTGTGTTACTACTGGTGCTATTCACCGGTAGGGTCCAGAAGTGTGAACTAAGCATCGGTGAGATTTTTCTATGCAACTGCGTACAATGTCGGGTCCTGTCTTTCCTCTCCTCACTCCTATGCTTGCGTGTATACTGAGGGCCTAGACTCGTTTCAACAGTCAACGGTTAGAGAGATTGAAAAGGGGAAATTTTTAAAGAAAAAATGACTGTCACTGCGGTACTCAACACGTGTCTGTGTCTTGTACTTCTGGTGTTCGCTCTTGTTGCGTTTGCCGCAGACTGTTTTCGACAAGACGCATCTTGGCAATGTCTTTACAACAGCCCAGTCCGGCCGCTTCCGCCAACCCGCCATTGGTAAGTGCCACCGGCGTGCTGCTACTCGCGTCTCCTTGTCTCTTTTGCAGTAAATCGACGAATGTTCGGCCTCCTAGGGCTAGAAGCCTAGAACCCATTTTGGCCGCATCAAATTTTCGGCCTGCACTGCTGCCGCCCGTATACACTGTCACACTGAACTGTGCAAAACTAAATTACGGCCGCAACAAATTTTCGGCCGCAACATGACCAGGCCGAAAATAGCCGAAAATGAATATGTGCCGAATATTTTTGACTTACATGTACATGAGGAGCTCTAACAGAGCGAAACAGTTGCTGTCCACAGATTTGTGTATGTCCACTACATATTGCAGGATCATTTTTGTGATGGTGGCTGTACTAGTGTTGGTGATCAAATCTTCGATTATTGACATTCTGAATCAGTGAACTTCTGCGTGCGGCTACGGATATGTGGTGTCTGGCGACTGTATGACATCTCTGAATGCCCTTGAAATGACCCTGGAAATGAAATTTTGTGTATATAGAGAGGTTCTGCAAAACGAAAATTCGAACGAAGTTTCGCGATGGTCCTTGCGAAAGTGTGTACGAATTTTCGCACGAACTTTGTGTTCTGTACATTTTCGTAGTTTGCATGCGCCAAGTGCACGTACACCATGACCCGATCTCACGAAACTTCCTACGAAAGTTCTTTTCCCGTTCCCTGCAAGTTTCGCGTCCAAAGTTGCGAAAGTTCGTGCTAAGTTTCGCACTTCATGACGTAGAGCGAAAGTTTGTACGCATTTTCGTTTTGCAGAACCTCTCTTATGTCAGGCTACGAACCCTGGTGTGTTCAATGTATTGGGACCTACACTCATTCTGCTGTTCTCTTCTCATGCGTCTGTGTATATACATGTGTGTTTGTTTGTTTGTTTGTTCATCCTTGGCCAGCCGTGCACAAAGACATCCAGCAGACAGAGCAGGCACATGATGCTGCTTACGATGCGTACATGACCGGCTTCTCGTTCCTGCGCCTGTTGAGAGGTCTTGGTAAGCCAATGAGCCGCGTTACGGTGTAGTCCCGTTGCTCAACTCTGCTTCTTTGCATGTGCTGCAATTGATAACTGCAGGTGTTGCGTCCATTGAAGTCTTCCCAGATCTGAATTTTATGAGAGCGGTGCTTCATGTGCGCAACTTGCTTTTGTTGTTTTTTGAACACCTTTTGCTCTTGGTGTACTTGATATTGTTGTGTTCGTAGAAGATGGACCTATTGCTACTGGTCCAGTCGACCTGTCATCAGAGCATGTCGACAAACTAATGCACAAGTGAGTTGGAACTCTTCCAGTGGCTGCTTTCATGTGTCCTGGGCTAGTGTTCTATCAAGGATGTTCTTTAGGACTGCGTGTACTTTTGTTCTTGTTTGCATTTGTTGAACGTTATTCCCCTGTGTTCTGCAGGCCCAGCACTAATCAATGTGTGTGTGTGTGTGTGTGTGTGTGTGTGTGTGTGTGTGTGTGTGTGTGTGTGTGCATCTGTGTGTGTCTGTTCCCTGGTATCTGTTGCGAAATGTGACGTACTCTTCAATCTAGGGTCAACATGATGCAGTCGTTCGATGTGCCCTTCATAGACCTTGCTCAGGAGAATGGTGAGGAGTTAATCTTCTTGATTTTATATTTTGAAGGAGGTGATGACCTTCATGGACGATCTGTGCTGTGTGTTGCCGTTGTTGCGCGGCTGAAAGGTGGAATGGTATGGGCCCCATTTGAGCGTGTTCATTGACCTGTGGCAGGGGCCATGCCACGTGTGTGCTGCCGGTGCAAGTGCATGTCAGCTTTGTGCTGGTGTGCTCCGTAGGAATGGATATTTAGGAGACCAGGGCCTCTCCTTGAATTTGCAGAGTGTGTGCTGCTGTTGGTGATTCATTTATGTGCACCTGTATGCGCGCGCATGCGTGTGTGTGTGTGTGTGTGTGTGTGTGTGTGTGTATGTGTATGCACTACAGTTGAACCCAAGCGGCCTAACATCATGGTGATGACGTTCCCCAAGGAGTGGGACTTCAAGGCCATCATGTCATTCTTCACCTCACATGGTGAGTGCACTTTCTCCTAACATACTAAGCAAGCTAGAGTGCTCCCTGGCTGGAGTTGTCCCCAATGGACACGTTGCATTGCAGCCCGGATTGGCAACGAATGAGACCATACCGTGCTGTATTGGTTTACTTAACTTACTTGGGCACGCGAGATCACGGTACCACAGTAGGAAAATAGTGCCAGGGACAATAGTAATCCTACTAGCTGTTCGATGAACGGAATCATGTATTTTGTGTGACGTTAGAAGATTGTGATTGGGTAGTTCATCTTGTTCCATTTGGTTCCAGTCATGTTTGTTTTCAGTGTGTATATGTGGCGTGTGTGTGTGTGTGTGCGCACTTGCGTGTGTGTGAGTGTATGTGTATGTGTGTGTACGTGTGTGTGTGTGTGTGTACACATGCGTGCGTGTTTGCGCACACGTGTGTGCGCGCGCACGTGTGTGTGTGTGCGCGCGTGTGTGCACGTGTGTGCGTGCATACATGTGCTCTGGCTGTGTCTTACACCTCTCATCTGGACGGTGTACTGTGATTCTGTGCAGAGTCTGCTGTTCCCAACCAGTTGAAATGGATTAATGACACATCGGCTTATGTTTGTTTCAACACCGTTGTCAATGTCAGTTTAGGTAAGAACACACACTCTCCAAAATATCATTTAGCTTCTCTCAACTGCTCTTTGTAGTTGCTATTGGTGGCAGTGGCTGTTCGTGTTGCACAACCACCTGGCCAAAAACAAGGCCATCTCAACTCCCTACTGGCGGGGATACGTCCTCTGTGTGTATACAGCACAAGAACCAGGCCATGCATGCATCTCTCTCTCTCTCTCTCTCTCTCTCTCTCTCTCTCTCTCTCTCTCTCTCTCTCTCTCTCTCTCTCTCTCTCTCTCTCTCTCTCTCTCTCTCTCTCTCTCTCTCTCTCTCTCTCTCTCTCTCTCTCTCTCTCTCTCTCTCTCTCTCTCTCTCTCTCTCTCTCTCCACTGACTGGTATCTGGTCATTTCAAAGGTCTAATAGCTGTAGTATTTGTATTTTCCTTTTGTAGTGTTTTTTTTAACTTGTGTTTCAACTTATGTTTTTGAACTTGTTTTAGTGATAGCTGAACTGTCCAAGGCTGCATCCGCTGAAGGCGTTGAATTTATTCCCGTCGATGCCTCTGGTAAGTGTTCAAACCACTGCTATTGCGGCGGCTGCTGTGTGCTGGTGTTGCTGCTGGTGCATGTGTATATGTGCATGCTTGTGTAGCGTATAGCGTATCCCCGTACGTTAGCATATCCCGTATGTTACTGTATTCCCGTACGTTAGCATATCCCCGTACTGTATTCCCATACGTTAGCGTATCCCCGTACATTAGCGTACGGAGTCTGTATTTGTATTAAAGCTGCTGCTCACGATTCTTTTATTGCCAGTTAGTTAATTTAATTGCCAGTTAGTTAATTTAATTGCCAGTTAGTTAATTTAGTAGCCAGTTAGTTAATTTAGTTGCCAATCAGTTAATTTCGTTTCCAGTACATTTCAATTGCCAGTTACAGTGTGTTCACTGAGACCCGTGTGCATTTGCCTCCGAGAGAGACTGCGGCCCGCTACAAATTGGTGGCAGCGGTGGTTAAAGTCAACTTTGTCAGATTCGACCCCACCTGTTTTACGTGCTACAAATTGGTGGCAGCGGTAAATTCATTTTGTTTTATTCTATACCTAACTGTGTTACTTTACACGTTTCTCGGACCCCCATGGCTCAACCCGCTACAGCTCCGTGCGACGAATCAAGATGAGAATCTTTTTTCTTGCCTTCCTGGGCTTGGCCCTGCTTATTAGCCTGCAGCACAGTCAGGGTGCTAGCGTGGATCACCCTTCTCTCCGCACGGCACACACTGGAGACTCCGATGGCGATTCCAAGCGACCCGCTACCTACATGTATACTACCGGTGGTGATGGCGAAGCTGATGCAGACGACGACAGGCAGGCTGCTGACCAAGACAAGGAGTTTATTCCCCAAGCCCAGCAGCGTTTGATTTTCGCCGGCACGCAGTTGGCAGACGGCCGAACCCTGAGTGACTTCAATGTTCAGCACGAGTCAACTATTCACTTGGTACTTCGTCTCCGTGGTGGAATGCAGATTTTCGTCAACACTCTTCCTGGCTAGACCATCACTCTTTACGTCGCGCAAAGCGATGCTATCGACAATGTGAAAACCACGATTCAAGACGAGGAGAGAGTGATCTGTCTGACGCCGAGCTAGCCGTTCTGAGTGACCGGCTCAACCAAGATGAAACCTGGCTCGCCCTCCGACGTCGCTCCAGCCGCCGCCGTGGTTACTGACGCTGATTCCAGGTATGGCATTTTCTTTCCTGTCTTCCTTCAGTCTTCCTATTCTCTTCAGTCTTCCTTTATGCGAGTGTGTGAATCCAGTTTAGTTTGGTAGGCGTCCGATCATGGTGAGCCACGGTTTACCCAGCTAACCTGGGACAATGTGTGTGACAATGCCCCTTATAGTGAATAGTGATAATTATATAGTATAGTGTATTCAGTTCGGTTTTTGAACTGCGATGTTCCTGGCGGGTTGTGCCAGCCTTGTGCAGCAAGAGTGCTGTGGTTTTTCAGGTCCTATTTTGAGGACAGTTCTTTCCCCTTTTGACCCTGTGAGATCGTGTGAACCTGGTGTGCTTCTACTTTATGATTTGTTTTTCAGTTCATTCTTCTGTCTATTCCAAACGTTATCATTTCCGATATTATTTGCCATACTCCGGTTGACGCTCTCCCAGTAATTCGTGATCTACTATAATGTTCACGACTACATACCTGTATTATATTATGCAAGTCATCCATTCTACCGATCTCTTATCGTCGAGTTTATTCCGACGCGACCATGCATGCCGCCAGTTTAAAAAAAAAATAACAGCCAGTTGTTGGTGTCCAGCTATCACCAAGTATTCGAATCACGAGGACGTGATTGTATTTGAGAGGGGAGGTGTAGCGTATTGCGTATCCCCGTACGTTAGCATATCCCGTATGTTACTGTATTCCCGTACGTTAGCATATCCCCGTACTGTATTCCCATACGTTAGCGTATCCCCGTACATTAGCGTACGGAGTCTGTATTTGTATTAAAGCTGCTGCTCACGATTCTTTTATTGCCAGTTAGTTAATTTAATTGCCAGTTAGTTAATTTAATTGCCAGTTAGTTAATTTAGTAGCCAGTTAGTTAATTTAGTTGCCAATCAGTTAATTTCGTTTCCAGTACATTTCAATTGCCAGTTACAGTGTGTTCACTGAGACCCGTGTGCATTTGCCTCCGAGAGAGACTGCGGCCCGCTACACTTGCTCCACCGTGTGTGTGTGTGTGGGGGGGGGGGGGGGGGTGTGTGTGTGTGTGTGTGTGTGTGTGTGTGTATGTGTGTGTGTGTATGTGTACCCGTACAAGTACAATATTTGCTAAACGTGTCAGAGGATTCAGACGTATTAATTTGTTTTCAGTTTCTGTTGTGTGTGTGTACAGTGTCACATCCACAAAGTAATCACAATGACGACTTTCTTCTCGCTCCTGTCGTCTTCTGTGTTGTAGGTCACGGGCCCACCATTCCGCAGAAACGAAAATCATCAACTTCCCCAGGTAAGCACGTAGACAGTGCTGTCAAGTTTCTTCACCCGAATCGGACACGTACACGTTCAGACGACACCCAAGAAAAATGCCTCCCCCTGTGATAGGGTTGCATGCATGATTGTATTCAACCTTAGCGCAGCACACATTCATGACGTATGCTAACACTACTGGGGTTTTCTGTCAAGATGGACTCTTTTCCAGATCAGTTTTCAGGCAGAGGGTGAATTTTTGGACAGTGTCCGATAAATCGGACGGGGATTTGGCTGCACATCTTGCTTCCTTTCCGGTCCTATCCGAGGCATTTGGTGTTGGAAGAGTGCTACTGGTATATCCAGCACTATTGAAGCGTGTGGCTGTGGATTCCAATGCCGTACGACTAGAATTGCCTGGCACTGCCTGGCACTACCAATCAGCTCTCCCCGGGGTTTAAAAACAAGTTCTCTCTGTGCCTGCTAGAATCTGATATCAGGACGTGTGCGCTTCGAATTCCATGTCCACAGTGAGTTGGAACTGGAGGCACGTTTTGCTGAACTGCTGCTGGTGGTGGTGTGTTTCTTGGCATGTTTCTGCAGATGCGCCTGCGGCTGACTTGAAGAAGCAGCGATCAGAAGATCTTACGGTCTTGGAGCCTGCTGACCCAGTCTAAGCGACACCGCGTTGACCACTGCTCACCTGCTCGCGTGGCTGCTCTTGTCAAGTCGCTGCCCGCGCACTGATCTCGTACATGATTGTACTACCCGTCGAGTAGATGATATTACCAGCGTCCGCTGCAAGTGTTTCGTAGCGCATCGCTCCCTTTGACATGCGACGCGACTCCTATATGCACGTTGCCGCCCCGTCCAACGTACGTACGTTGTTGCTGGAGACACCAAACTATCCCTGCTCCCTAAACTTCTCCTTGACCTTGTAGGCAGTCAGCTGCACTGTCATGCTGTGCTGCGTGGCTCGGTTCATTTCGATGCCAATGGCCCGTCGCTGGGCTTGCCTACACACCGATCATGGATAGGTAGTGAGTACCGTGCCATGCCGGATTGCGTGTGGGACATCATGTGCGACTGAACAGCATTACCATGTGAACAGCATTGTGATGTGGATACAAACTGTACGCACCACTGTGACTGCACTCCCGGATATCTAACTGTGCTTGGAGCTCTTAGGCAGTTGAATTTATAATATGCTTCACACTGACCTGGCCTGACTAACTTCTCTGTGTTGCGTGGCAGTCGTTTTCCACTGTCCATTTGACGCCGTGCCGTTGTTGCTTCGCTTTCCGTTTCTTTATTTTTTTATTTGTTTGTCCCAAACGGGTTTAGCCTAGTTTTCCTATGGGATCTTGATGTCGACACAAGGCACGTCTCGACCCTGTTGCCACTTTCTGTAGATTCACTAAATGTTTATAGCTTTCAGTTCAGTCTGCTCGTGTATTTTGTGTGATATTGAGAGTGGCCGAAACTCCGAAACTTTGTTGCACAGTACATGTGTTCGTCGAAGACGCAGTTTTGTGTCCTTGTCCGGAGACTTGTCATGCGTGTGTATTCACTATTCTGTTCCCGGGGAAAATCGCGGAAAAAAATCGCAAAAAAACGCGGCATAATATGGCATAATTTGCGGTGAATTTTGCGGTAAATATGCGGTGAATATTATTGATATCATCTCGCGGCGGCAAGTTTGCAGTTGATATGAGGCAATTTTCAGTGAGCATGTAGTGAAATCAATCAGTTACAAGTCTCTGGTGTAAGCACTCGTCATATTTGAGTACAAAGCTGCCGCGATGAGACGTTGCTGACCGAACAGTGCACTGTGTGTATGTGTAGTGCAACAAAAAGTTCAAAAAACGCGGGGAAAATCGCGGAAAACGCGGTCTTTAAAAAAATCGCAAAACGCGGAAAAAAACGCGGCCGCGGAATCGCGATTTTCCCCGGGGACAGACTGTTACCATGATAACAGGCAGCTGCATGAACGGCTTTTTGTTGTTGTTGCAAATGACGTACATGTACATGTACAGTCATGTACACTGTACATGTAGTGTCGATGCATTAGGCCTAGCTGGATGCATTTGTTGAAGATTGTCTCCTTGTTCATACTTCTGAGTAAAATTTGAGACCTGCATGAAGGGGGGGGGGGGTGCTCTTGCTTTGTAAACTGCAGACCAAGTAGAGAGCATCAACGTACATGTACATGTACATTATTGTGTTGATTTATCAGACCTATCAATTTTGACATCGGTAGCTAGCCACTCCTGTGCAAAGAAAATGAAGGAAAACGCCCAGAGGTTCTCAAATGTGGGGCAGGCCAGGGCCAGGGAGGGGGATTTTCAATTCATCATTTTAGAAAGATTTCCTTTTATAAATTATTTTTGTGCGACTATGGTTTTTATGGATGAAGATGAAGATGCTACTACTTGTACATGTACAGTGTACTTCAAAAAGTTCACAGCACTACATGTAGCAGCATTGAACACAGCACTCCTCTCACTTCGGTGAATACAATAAACAAATTGAAAATGACCAACCAATTCTACAGTGATCGACCTTCTCTCTCACCGAGCTAAGCAGAACGTGCGTCATCACTGCGCTGGTCGCTATGGCAACTTTAGCATGCAATGCATGCACAGATGGGGCAGTATTCAAGAGAGGGCATTATTTTTTCATTGCTGGTACATGTACATTTGCGTCATTCAGCATAAAACAAAGAAAAACAGAGCCTAAAGTGTACTGTAAACGCTCACGACTCCACAGAAACGGGAACAAGACCTGCGATTTTGTTCCTGAAAACACCAGTGCAAAGCAATGGCCAAGAACATTAGCAAAAGAACACCAGATTTGCACATGGCCTTGGTTACAAGACCGGGGGGGGGGGGGAAGGGGCACTATTCAAGAGAGGGCTTTATTTTTAGCTGGCTCTTGCAGTCTTGGAGACTAGGGCACTATTCAAGAGAGGGCTCAAATCTAGGGACCGGCGGATTCTGCTCGAAAAGGTGGCAGATTCTGCTCGAAAAGCAGTGAAATTGGCAGAATCATACAAGCTTATGGCGGGCAATTCCTCGAATTCTACTCCATTTCTTTATCCACATACCAAACATGCATGAAACTTACTAGTACCAGGAAAAGTACCGAATTCTGCCAATTTTTCTTCCGGCAGAATCCGCCGGACCCTACGTCTAATCGCGCGAGTACGGTATTTCGTTGTTTGGCTTATCATTACGACATTAGCAACTAACGACTAACGTTACTTTGCAAGCAAGAGATACATGTACGCCATTCGAACTGATATCAATAACATTTTAAAATAATTTTTCATCTGAACCCTACCTGAAAAATCGATGCACTTCCAGACTACACTGAGTCTCGTGTAGTACACCTGGTACACAGCAGTTACGTGTTACTTCACAAGTGACACATAATCTACATATTATGTAGATCTACAGACCAGTCGGGGTGTGAAACCCTACAGTGCGTTTTTTTATAATAGACTCTGAAATCCTTGAGAACGTACTCAAGGCCACTTTTGAGAAAATGTCATGCGAGTTGCGTCACGAAAATCTGCGCGCGAAATTCGAAAACCAGGTGTGACTCGTGGCATTTCGCCATTTTGTTCAGAGAGGCTTCGAGCTCCTCGTGGCCGGAGGAATCATTTTGTTGCTGACTGCTCTGTGGCCCTATTTTGCTTTTTCTTGAGTGTCTTTTCGTTCGTGGCAACTTGTTCTCTCGACATGCCACATATAACAAAGCGCGAACGGGCCATGGTAGAATCTACATGGTGGTGTCTGTTTTACAATTTTTGCGAAGACGAGGAAAACAGTGGCTGGGCATCGAATTGGTCCCAAGTATTCCATTCGTCATGCTGCTGTTGCGTGTGGCGTCAGCATTTCCACCATGAACAGATGTACCAGGGATGCTGACGGCGAAAATCAGCGTGCTGCGTTGGCCTTGTCTGTCTCCAGTGATGAAGGTAACGAGAGTGACAATCCCCAATGTGAGACTCGTGCCATAAAACCACTCAACCCTGACGGATTTGCTTTGGACTGTATAAGAAGTAATTTACAGATTCTATGCTGCGAAGGAGCACCCAACACTGGACAAAGTTCCTGCTCGCTGCATAGAAAGCATCGACGATTTTCCAGACATGAGCAAAACTAGCTCTTGGAAAATGTTGCGTTCCATGGGATTCCAGTGTGGCGAGACCAGAGGTATCACACACATGATGATGGAACGGCACGGGATTGTGTCATGGCGGCATCGCTACCTGTGAGACATACCTGGATGACACGTGGGTCAATGCGCGTCACACAGTTACTAGGAGGTGGTCCGACAATGGTGACAGGAGTGTATAGGCAAGCAACCAAATGAAGCACCATCAGGTAAAGGCAAGCGCTTTATTGTTCTGCATACTGGTGGACGGGACGGATTCGTGAGAAACTGCGCCGATGTGTTCGTGACTGGAGGCCGACGCCAACGATGATATTCGTCGTCGGCTGTCCTAGCACATCTGTTCACTGTGTAATACTGTCGTCACAAGTGCAACACAAAACACGGAATTATTGGGGCCGTTTCGACGCTCGCTGGTCTTCTACTATTCGCAGATGTTGAACCAGACACAACTGTGACCTATTTGCATTGTGTGTGTGTGTGTTTGTAAAACCGCTCATGTATTGCTTCCTTTTAGTCTCTTTATGGGTGCTGTGTGAATTGCCCTTGTGATTTGTTGTGGTGTTTGAATTTTCACTGCATTCTTTCAGTGATCGAGGGAAGTTTCCTACATGCATGCTGGAATGTTTTGATTTATTGAGCTAATTGCAATACAGGATTTGAATTATTCAGTACAGTTTGCCACAGTAAGTCGTGAAAAACCACGACTCACTGGTTTCCTACAAAGGTTAGGACAACTGCAGACAGGAGTGCACAACTGCACAGTCTACTTCAGTACTTGTAGTCATGTACGTGTACATGCATGCGCTGTACCAAAAAGAAGAGAAAAAAGAATCAGGATGAACTGTACTGGATTCGAACTCTGGCGGACACCATGCACGTGATGAGCTTTCCTGGCTAAAACTTTCGTTTTAAAATCAAAATCCACTGAAAACCATTTAAAACCAGATTTTCAGCCCAAACCCGTCCGAATATCTAACTTTGACAATTATTATTATTCCGATTCCCAAACTTAATTTTCTTCGATCCAAGACCCACACAAACGCAGCTGTGAAGAAAAAATTTCAAATTTGGAATGAGAACAAACTAAAAAATCAAAATCGACAAATGTCTGTTTTAAAAAAACGCACTGTAGCCCTGCGGCTTTCTTGTGCCAACCCTTTTTCTGAATGAAGTTGAAGACACCATTGCAGCTGTACTTATGGTTGATAAATATGGTGGTAAAGACACACCCGGCAATATGGCGGTAAACACACGCCTGCCCACACACGCTCTCTAGGCTGCAAAGTTCTAGCACAGAGCTCTCCTTCTCACCACCACCACCATCACCATCAGTTCGCGCCTGGCGCCTGGTCGATGCATGGTTGGCGGTATCCGGCATAGCAGGCTGGTACATCAAGTAGCGCATGGCACATAGAAGATGACACAGCAACGACATAGCTCGATTGCGACGTACGTTTCGTCCCCACTGGACTCATCAGTCAATCTTCTTCTTGGGTGTCTTCAAACGGAGCTTGACTCGGGAGAATGAAGTTGAAGACACCATTGCAGCTGTACTTATGGTTGATAAATATGGTGGTAAAGACACACCCGGCAATATGGCGGTAAACACACGCCTGCCCACACACGCTCTCTAGGCTGCAAAGTTCTAGCACAGAGCTCTCCTTCTCAGTACAGCTGTAATTGTGTCTTCAACTTCATTCTCCCGAGTCAAGCTCCGTATGAAGACACCCAAGAAGAAGATTGCCTGATGTGTCCAGCGGGGACGAAACGTACGTCGCAATCGAGCTATGTCGTTGCTGTGTCATCTTCTATGTGCCATGCGCTACTTGATGTACCAGCCTGCTATGCCGGATACCGCCAACCATGCATCGACCAGGCGCCAGGCGTGAACTGATGGTGATGGTGGTGGTGGTGAGAAGGAGAGCTCTGTGCTAGAACTTTGCAGCCTAGAGAGCGTGTGTGGGCAGGCGTGTGTATACCGCCATATTGCCGGGTGTGTCTTTACCACCATATTTATCAACCCTTTTTCTGGAACATATTTTTCGGGCATGCGCTGATGTACCGGTATTCAAGCGCACTGGACAATGATTATGTTGACATGTTGCTGTCAATGCTGACCTGCGCTGGAACATGGAGCATTTCACTGGTGCAGGGCCCTGGCCCTGGTATGGCTTTAGCCAAAGTTTAGGTACATGTACAGTCAACTTCGCTAATAACGACTGCAGATATAACGACAATTCGCGAATAACGACAGAATTTCCATGCCCAGATCAGAGCAAAGTCCATTCTACATTTACCTGTATGCATAATTATAATGAGACTTCGGGTATAACGACACTTCGCGAATAAGGACACTTTTCTGATGCCCCGCCGAGAGTCGTTATACGCAAAGTTGACACTACTACTAGGACTACCTGGTAGTACTAGTACTGAGTAGTAGATCTTTATGACTGTCCCTCCAGGAAATCGCGATTCCACGGATGCAACAAATTTCGCGATTTTGGCCCAAATCCGCGATTTTCAGCGAAATCCGCGATTTCCCGCGTTTTTTGTTGTTTTCTGCACTATATCTCACATGTTTTCTGCACTTTTCAGTTTTCACACAGTGCTTTCCATGATCCTGTAGGTTATTTTCACAGTATGACCCGTACTGCTCCGGAGTAGATATACGATGCAACAAATTTCGTGATTTGGCCCAAATCCGCAATTTTCTGCAAATAATTCCGCGAGTTCCTGGCAAGTTCTGCATCATTGCGCACTTTTCGTCGCATTTTTGTTGTTTTCTGCCGCAATTTCTTGCGCAAGTTTTCGAGAGTTTTTTCCGCGAATTCCCGCAGGGATCGGGACAGACATGCACGTAGCGCTATCGCCGGTATGGTTGGGTTTTGGGGTTGAGCATGCGCGCAAGTCTACACTCAAGTAACTAGACTTACTAGTTACTGAGTTTGTTTCCCTGGCCTGGACCATGGTGTAGTGGTGAGCTCAGGCTGATGTGTGATGAAGACGGAAGTATTTTAGAAACTGTTACAAAAATAGTACATGTACAGTCAACTTCGCTAATAACGACTGTGGATATACATGTAACGACAATTCGCGAATAACGACTGCGGATATACATGTAACGACAATTCGCGAATAACGACAGAATTTCCATGCCCAGAGAAAAGTCCCATCCAACTGTAATACATAGAATGCGACTTCGGGTATAACGACACTTCGCGAATAAGGACACTTTACTCATGCCCGCCGGGTGTCGTTATAAGCGAAGTTGACTGTATGCCACGTCGCCTGCACGTAAACAATGATTATGCCTCAGTCATGCATGCTGGTTGTACTAGTATCAATATCATGCAATGGTCGTGCTCCACATGCGCACACACTGGGACATTACCCCTGGCCCCAGGTTACCCCACTGGCCCCAATCACCAAACCAAGTAGAACCACAGTACGGCTGGAAACTTTTTGTTGGACACCAGATCAAATAAATCGGTGTAAGAAAAGTGCTCAGAGAGCAGAAAAGAGAGTCTACGAGTGAGACTTTAGTAGTGTTTTAGAAACAAGTGCAGTTGCCAAGAAAGAAGACAGGCCTCATAGCTAGGAAACAAGCGCACAAGTGAACACAAAGACAAGTCATTGAAGCGGAAAGCTTGCGACAGTGGCGTTGCCTGGCATTTACTTGAAGGTCTTGTCGAAGTGGTATACACCGAGACCGTCTCCGACGAGCTTCAGTTGAGCACAATAGTCAGACAGCTGCTTGATGGCATCCACTTGCTCCTTGAGGTACTCGCCCTCCAAGAAGTCGCTCATCTGGTAGTCGTTGTGTGTGTCGGAGACGGCGTGAAGGTCCAGGAGAGCCTTGTTGACGTATTTCTCCAAAGCCAGGGCTGTTTGGAAGGCATCCAGAGCAGAGTCGAAGTCGGTCTTGGCCGGTTTGTCAATAGGAGTGAGGACGACACGACCGCCGCGCTTCACTTGATATTCCATCAGCTTCTCAGCGTGCTCCTTCTCCTCTTGAGCGCTGTCCTTGAAGAAGGAGGCGATGTTCGAGAGAGCAATGTCGTCTCGGCTGAAGTGGTTGGCCATGGCCATGTACGCATACATAGCGCCTAACTCCTTGTTGATCTGGGCATTGATGCCAGCCTCACAGTTCTCGTGGAACTCCTGACGAGCGAGAGACATAGTGACTGTTGGTTGAGGTACGGGGTATTCGGCTTAGAGGAAATTGAAAAAGCAAGTCCCTACGCAAGACGATCAAGAAGTGTCGACACAGCGAGCAGCAACTTGAAAGCAAGCAAAGTGTAGATAGACTGAAGCTGCTAGAGCGCGCGTTCCAGTTTTATAGCGCTCGCGCATTGCCATTCACGTACGCAAAGCGCTTGCGCAACCAGTCGCTTGACATCATGCAATGATCGTGATGAGGCGATATCCCATTTGCTTGTGTGTAGGCAAGCGCTTCGTGCAAAGGAGCGTGCTGTCTAAGCCCATATGAGTGGCCAGCGATTGGCTAGTTTTGACAACGGGTGCTAGGTGGTCTAGCTCCAGAACCGCGTGACCTGTCGACAAAGCATCGCGATCGCGTGCCTCATAGATCATTCTAGTATGATGTACGATCGCCTTTGATGTGAATGATGCATCGATGGTGCACGCGCCTGGGCGGCTCGGCCGGCCCTGGCATGGCCATGGCCTACACGTACACGTAGATCTACGTAGTGACCGGCCATGTGACTGACTGTCTGTGCTACATCATGACTGTGTCAGTGCTGGCAACTGAAATCCGACCCCTTGGCCGCGCGCCGCGCCGCCAAGGAGGTCAGATTTCAGTTGCCAGCACTGTACTAGTACTAGTAGTACTGCATGATTGTACTGCAAGCCGGCCTTGCAGCTTGGAAGATCGGCTACAAAAAAGACAAAGGTCATGATTGTGTTGGACTGTTTTTTTTACATGCTGTCCATGTACGTAGACTACGTATCTGTACTTGACTTGTGTCAAGCAGTGGTAGTGCAGTAGTGGTCAAGTGAACAGAAGCTTCCCGAAGTGAGTAGTAAAACAGTCCTGTCAAGGCTGTCATCATGGTCATGACATTGTGAAGTGACATACAGACTCAGTGACGTCAGTGCATGCACTGAGTAGATCGAGTCGGAGACTCGGAGTCGGAGTTCGCGTCCTCCGCGATGATGCCTTGATTCTTGAAGCTTGAAGCTTGATCCGCCCGAGTGCGATCCGATCAGATCATCGGAACAGTTCTACATCTGTCATGACATAATACTATTATAATACTAGTCATTGCATTGCAGTGACACCTGGACACTGATACTAGTGATAGCTGATACTGATACAGTGATAGCAACGATACTCGATAGGCGATAGCCGGATAGGTGTACGTGTACTGATGTAGCGGAAAAAAGCGGGTACAGACTAGTGCCATGTACATGTATGTGAGTAGGCGGCCATGGCATGTATGGGACATTGGGGGGCTGTGTGGACCCACATCTCCCTCTAGATCTGGCGGATCATTAATTTTTATTTGTAGCTACTACTACTAGTACTATGTACATGATTGTACATGTAGGTTAGCCATGATCCTGCAAAACAAAACTAGCAGTAGCACGCTGTATGTTAGTGTTACAGCCTAAAATAAATACAGGCTTGCACTGTAGTTGCAGGGTATGCGAGTTTCTAAGCAATACATCATGACGTAGTCGGAGAGTGTAACCGCATAGTTATACTCTATATATACCGGTAGACATAATATCACTACACACTACACACTACACAGTAGTAGTCAGTACTAGTCAATTGTTAGATTGACAGCATGAAACAAGGTGGAGGACACTGTGTTCGGAAACAGTGACCTTACTACAACCTTCCGCGGTTGCCAGTGTTAGGTTACATCATAGTCAGTACTAGTAGTAGTACTAGTAGTAGTGCTCAATGCTTGAAGGCCGAGCTGGTAGCGCACAGCCAGTCACGCAGCACATAACCAGGGTATCAGTTTTCTACGTCTCCGAGTTTTGTGCCAGCAAATACCAGCTACTGAGTACTTACTCACACGGCAACTGATTGGCACAGCTGAAAGGTCCACAGCGCTTGCGATTGCTTTCACCGTCGCGCAGCCTCTGTCTGTCTCTGCCAGTCTCTCTCTCTGTCTCTCTTTCTCTCTGTCTCTCTCTGTCTCTCTCTGTCTCTGTCTCTGTCTCTGTCTCTGTCTCTGTCTCTGTCTCTGTCTCTGTCTCTGTCTCTGTCTCTGTCTCCGTCTCTGTCTCTGTCTCTGTCTCTGTCTCTGTCTCTGTCTCTGTCTCTCTGTCTCTGTCTCTCTCTCTCTCTCTCTCTGTCTCTCTCTGTCTCTCTCTCTCTGTCTCTCTCTCTCTGTCTCTCTCTCTGTCTCTCTCTCTGTCTCTCTCTCTCTGTCTCTCTCTCTCTGTCTCTCTCTCTCTCTCTCTCTCTCTCTCTCTCTCTCTCTCTCTCTGTCTCTCTCTCTGTCTCTCTCTCTCTGTCTCTCTCTCTGTCTCTCTCTGTCTCTGTCTCTCTCTGTCTCTCTCTGTCTCTCTCTCTCTCTCTCTCTCTCTCTCTCTCTCTCTCTCTCTCTCTCTCTCTCTCTCTCTCTCTCTCTCTCTCTCTCTCTCTCTCTCTCTCTCTCTCTCTCTCTCTCTCTCTCTCTCTCTCTCTCTCTCTCTCTCTCTCTCTCTCTCTCTCTCTCTCTCTCTCTCTCTCTCTCTCTCTCTCTCTCTCTCTCTCTCTCTCTCTCTCTCTCTCTCTCTCTCTCTCTCTCTCTCTCTCTCTCTCTCTCTCTCTCTCTCTCTCTCTCTCTCTCTCTCTCTCTCTCTCTCTCTCTCTCTCTCTCTCTCTCTCTCTCTCTCTCTCTCTCTCTCTCTCTCTCTCTCTCTCTCTCTCTCTCTCTCTCTCTCTCTCTCTCTCTCTCTCTCTCTCTCTCTCTCTCTCTCTCTCTCTCTCTCTCTCTCTTTCACCATCGCCACAGCCAGCAGCTACCGGTAGCTGTAGACTGTAGTGGGTCGCTCTTCGTTCGTTTTTGGATGGGGAGTTCATTTATTGCATGGAAAAATTGGGGTGCAACCAAGCCACTATCCGTATCTCTTAATTTGCTGGCAAAACATCCTATATATAGCATTTGAAAATGTATGACCTTTATGCCGTTGTTATTGGTCATCATGAGTCATTCATGACCCATATTAATGGCATAATGGTTTTCATAGAAGCTGTAAATATGTTTGAGGCATGAATGTTTACTTTTCAGATTCATCGGACATCATAAATACCAATTTTCAGCAAGAATTGGAACTTTGAGCAGCATTGTTAAGCTGGTGTCATGGAAAGGACTGAATCCGTGAATGTGCAAAAGAACATTACAGGTGTGGCACGGGGTGGTTTCATGACGACATATTGCACATGCCGTCGTGAAACTACCAGTTTTAAGGATAAAACAAGGTCCAGTAAAATCTCAAATCCTATAATATAGGATTCGAAAAATAGGGCACAGGCCTTAGTAATATTGCGCAAGGAGATGAGCCATAGATGTTAGCATTTGAAAAAATTTCTCATTCAACTCTCCATATCTACTAAGACCTACCACGGAAGAATTGGTCACATACGTTTCCCTAGGCTCGTGCGACACCCATTTTGAGTTGAAAATATGACCAAATCCTATATATACATGTAGGATCTAGCAAATTAAGAGAAACTAGGCCAGAAACTAGACCAGCCAGGATGTCAAATACTGAGCTGTATGAGAGGTGCAACACGGAACCACTATCTGACATCGTGGACAGGAGAAGATGGCAGCTAACCGGCCATATTCTCCGTATGGACAGGGATGCGCCGCTATGGATCGCGCTGACGGGCTATTTTGCGGGAGATGCCAAGGCTGGGCGTGGACGTCCAAGGACATCCATTGCGACGCGCATCACAAGCGACTTACAGAGGAGGAACATCGACTTGAAGCGCAGCAGTCAGCTGGGGAATGTGAGGGCCATCGCTCTGGACAAGCTTACATGGAGAAATCTGGCCGACAATCCATGATCTGGCGTCACAGGTCATCAGTGCGCCGTGTTAATAATTACCTTGATAATGGAATTTGATCATAGGAGATAGGACAGAAGCGGAACGTATAATTATACCCACATAATTATATTATTACGCGTGCTGTGGTATTATTATTATTATTATTAGACTGTAGTACTTGAAGTAGGCTAGAATGGCTGGGTACCGGGTTTCATCCACCTTCCGAAACGCACGCAAGAGGTGACAGTCATAGCCCAAATTTTTGTTGCCTCAAATGTCAGCACGTAACAAACTCTTGCGTCAATAGGGCTTGAAAGTGCTACGTCACAGCATAGCAACAATTTCAAAAATTCAAAAATTGGATCCACTTGGATCCAGTTTTTGTATGGATCCAAGCACATTTCAAGCCGTCTTACTCTCAACAAGGTGATGTAACCAGTGAAACTGACTGATTTGGCTACTGGGGGCGGGGTTACAACTGGTGGCGAAATAAAAGTCACACCTGCATGCGACATGAGTGGGTTGCTATGCACCCACATACTTAGGCAATAGCAAAGTCACACCTTATTGGATCCAAAAATAGAAATCTGATGTCAACTTACTACTCCCTGGCCATTTTGACGTCATCACTTTCAAGCCCTATAAGCGACACGTAGACAGTAATGTAACCAAGGCTATGGCAAGTCTGTAGATCGCCGAGCTGCAGAGAGTAGTGCTCAATGTCAAAAACGGAGCTTAGAACATAACTCAGCAGGAGGACGTTCAGGTGGCTGGTTGCAACACTGAGTTTCATGCCGCATGCATACTAGTAGTCTGATTGCCTAGGGGCATGAACCTCAGAGTTACAACCAACCTGAACGTCCTCCACTGAGTCTGCTATGTCAAGACTATGGATAAGATTAGACGTGCCGTCGTCACCAAACACTCGATCGCTTTTCCATAGAAGATATTGGCTCAGTGTGAGCAAGCTGATACAGATCACTGTTTGAAATGGTGCCATGGAAGAAGATGCCAAGCATATGCCGAAGTTGCTTGCGATGAATCTTGACCAGGTAGTAGTAACATAGTAAAATACCAATGCTGAGCAATGGTATTATACTACTCTCTGGTCATAAATACCGGGGCAAACCACGCATATTCGACAGTCCGGACCCGCTTCTCGCACCTCCTTCGTTCTTCATGTTCATGTCGATGTTAGACAGTGGACAGTGGTGCAGTGCGGCTCGAGGCAGTGTGTTTGCACTGCATAAGGGTTAAAGACAACGGTTGTCTAATCGCGAATCGCGAGACCACCC